TGTGCCGAGAAGAGAGCTCTATGTTCCAGAGAATGACTCCGAGGTGCCGGTTGATCGATTCAGCAGCGACCGCCTGACCACAGTGAGGCGACTACCACCACATCCTCCACGGGTACGCCTTCGTGATGATTGGCGAGTCATTGATGCCTCCAGATCACTCCACTATACCTGGACGGGAACGACAACCTTCGTGATTGAGGACAAAATGGATGATGATTCAGATGTCCTGGTTGAGCTCTTTGGTGATACCGATGCACCACCGGAGCCGGAAGAACCTCCAAATGAACCTCCACCGACTAATGGAGATGGACAACCTCAAGGAAGAAATGATGAGCAAGGAGGTGCGACACCCAACGGAGAGGATGGTGCCGGGGGTCAGAATCCACAACAACCGCCGCAGGACAGCCCACCGATTGTTGAGAGTGATCCTGCACCAGTACCAGAACATCAGAGAAGACTCTATGAGGCACCACCTGCGGAGAGCTTTCAGACTCAGAGGGCAAGAGTGGACAAACAAGAGACCCTCTCCTTCCTGCACAGGCCTACGGAGTATGGCCCTATCCGATCAGAATCATCAAGGACTACACCTTATGACCATCCGACCGAAGAGGACCTCAACATGCAGATAGACATCGACATTGAGAAGATCACAGACTTGCCCCCAGGCTGGCATGTTGAAAATGGATGGCTGTGTCTTGATGCCCCCACGGATGAGTGGACGTTGGAAGGAAATTGGCTCATCAGAAACCACTATGTGCCCAGGAAGGGAGCCTTCAAGCCGACAGAGGACACATGCCCGGTTGACCTCAACTACCTCGCCAAGGACAGAGTGACAGCGACTTCGCATGGCACCTTCAAGGATAGATGGAAACGGCACAGTGTGAACCATCTCATTGAGGAGGCCTACTGGACTGGACAGACAAAGTTCAAATTGAAGCCCAACTGGAGGACAAAAGCTCAAGAAGACTACAAGAAAGCCAGTGGAGGCTACAAGTCCATGAGAACTTCAGGAGATCAACCTCTTGCCAAGAAGAAGAAGGGCCGAGATGAAGTCTATGAGCGCTATATGTCCGTCTCCGATCGACAGGCCTTCATGAAAGCCAAGATAAAAGAACTGGACAGCTTCTTCAAGAATGAGGTCTGGCTCTATGACCATGAGAACAACGCAGATCCCTCCCGGGTGTTGAAGGCCCACTTCATCCTGACCTGGAAGAAGAACGAAGACGGGACACCAAGGGCAAAAGCTCGACTCATCACTCAAGGGTTCAAAGACCCTGATGCCCTGTCTGGAGCACTGACGACAAACGCACCAACATTGACCAGACTGGCAAGGGGCATGATCCTGAGCATATGCCAGCTCTACTCCTGGAAGATGTTCACTTCAGACATCACAACCGCATTCCTTCAGGGTAAGAACTTCGCAGAAGGATCGGACCGGGTGATTTGGATCAAACTCCCAAAAGATGCCAAAATGCTGCTGGGCCTTGATGCAGAGGCTCCTCAATTGATGAAGTTGGTGAAGCCGATGTATGGTCTCTGCGATGCACCACGAGCATGGTACGAAGAGGCCTCAGAGCGCATCCTCAAAGTTGGTGATGGCAACATCCTTCGCCATCCCCTTGACCCATGTCTCTTCATGGTCTACAAGCCTTGGCCAGAAGGAACACCACTGGACCCCAATGTGGAACGTGATCTGGCCGGCATCTTTGGGATCCATGTTGATGATTTGGTTGGATGTGGGAACCCAGATGATCCGATCTTCACCGAAACCAAGAAGAAGTTACAAGAAGTCTTCACCTTCCGAGAATGGCAAGATGGTGACAAACTTGAATACTGTGGCAGCCAAATTGATTGCCAACGCGCAGAAGTCATCACCCTGGGTCAAGAAGAGTATATCCACAAGGTCAAGCCGATCCCTGTCACGAAGGAACGTCTCCAGATGCCTGACACCCCAGTGACTGAGAAGGAGAGATCCCTACTCCGTGGTCTCATTGGTGGACTGCAATGGCCAGCGACTCAGAGCTCGCCACATCTCCAGGTTGGAATTTCTCGGTTGACCGGAGAGACATCCAGAGCAACAGTGGCAACCCTCCAGAATGGAAACAAACACCTTCGGTATGCCAAGGAATACGCTGACGTTGGACTGCAGTACCGTCGCTTGGGAGAAAAGAATGAGATGACTTTCGTCGTCTACAGCGATGCATCGTTTGCAACAAGACAAGATTTGAGCAGTCAAGGGGGGTACCTGTTGGCTATGTGCCACAAAGATGTTGCAGATGGAAAGTGTGAAGCGCACTACAACGTCCTCGACTGGCGCAGCTGGAAATTGCCAAGAGTGGCTCGCAGCACCCTGTCCGCAGAGTCTCAAGCCGCAAGTGAAGCAGCAGACAGCTTGATGTACACCTCCCTGTTCTGGAACATGATCTTCAGAGCATTGCTGCCCTTAGACAGTGTTGAGACTGGACGCTTGGCAAACAGCCCAAAGTTGATTGTGGACGCCAAGGCTCTTTATGACATCCTGGTCAAGGAGGAGATTCAGGCAGCAACTGGAGCAGACAAGCGCACTACGATCGAGGCCCTGGTTTGCAGAGACAAGCTGGCTTGCTGCAACGGCAAGGTTATGTGGGTGTCATCAGAACTCCAATATGCTGATGGCCTTACAAAGGATGCTGCCGCACCTTTGTTGGGACAGAGATTAAGATCCCACATGACAAAGCTCAAGAGCGATGAGACCTTTCAAGCCTCCAAGAAGAAGAACATCTCAAGCCGCAAGAAGGGCGAAAATATGTACGCCATCAAAAGACCGGAACGGGCACTATATGCCATGTTTGCCAACTACTTCCTGGACGTGGTCAACGCCCATGAGACAGAGAAGGGTGGCGATGGAACTATGAGGGAGCACTACATCCCTGAGGGTTATGACATGTTTGATTTCATGATTTTGATCTTCTTCACGATGCTCCTGGGCATCATGGTTTGGCTGGGAATGAGATGCTTTGGCACTACATCCATCAGCTGGACAACAAAGAGTTCTCCACCGAAGAGTACCAGAGAGTGCTATGTGCAGACCGATCGAACAGGTCTGGAGGAACAGCGACTCGTGGAGCTTCGAAAGGACAAGATGAAGTTGCTGGAAGAAGTGGCTCATTTTCGTAATGAATGGGCCCTTGCAGAGGGGAACTACCAGGAGAACCGCCATCAAGTACAAGTCTTGCAGCGGATGAACCAGAAGATCCTAGAAGAGTGCGAGAACACCCTCCAACAGAAGATGAAGGTTGCAAAGCAGAGTGCTTCTTTGAAGCCAATCTATTTGGCAGCCATGGGTGGATGCTGGCATGCAAGCCGAGGATGTGTCGCTGGGCGCACAGCGAACGTGGTCTATGAGAGGCAACCATGCAAAGCGTGTTCCCACATGTTCTTTGAAGAGTGCACCCCAAAAGCCACACCTGGGGCTACACACTGGACACAGAACACGTACGGTGACCTCACAGGCACTTCGGCTGCTTCGGACTCCCCATGGTAGCAAGGAAGTTTTAATTTGAACTTTTCTTTGCACTGACCCTCTTTTTCACCTGTGTGAAATGTGCGCCGCACATCATGAGGGTACTTGACATGACCATTTGTCACCCTGCCGCCTCAAACCAAAGTGGTGGGGCGCTAGCCTTCTGACGCCAATGGCCGCTGGAAAAGCTGCCGCGTGATCGCGGTACTTCGTGGACGACTTTGCATCGGGACCTTGAGAGCCCGAACCTGGTGAGTTGCGCCCGCTTACCAACACAAGTAATTATACTATCTAGTGAAAGATCATCGGCCACAAACCGTGGCTGTTGGGCGGTTGGACCACAATTTCTTGTGGTACACTCTACTCTGTATGTAGGATCCATGACTGAATGACGATCTGAGGCAATCACTCATCCTTGCAGAACTCTCTCAGCCCTGAGAATTTGACAGGATATTTGCTGGAGGGGTTCCGCGCGTTTGCAAAAGCGCTAGGGATGGAATCGGCCTTCAACGAAACAACGAGAAGCGGTGAATTTGCGAAGTCCAAGAACTGCCTTTGCATTTTTGATGTGGATCGAACACTTACTGGAAAACAAGGAGACACTCGACGATGCCCTGCCAACAAAGTCGTAGGTGGTTATGATGATGCCTATGGTGGAGGTGAGGTGACCTTGTCTCACTTGGGTCAATATGTTTGGGGCACGTGGTGTGGTCAAGAATGTCATATTCGCGGCATCAGTGCTCATCATCGGGCCCGCCCCAACATTCCGGTTCCACAGAACGTGCTCAGCTGCAATCGAGGCTGCAAGGCTGAGAAAGCAAGAAAGATGGCTGAAGAGCTTGGAATACGCAAATCACAGGTCTACATGTTTGACGACAAAGCATCAAACATACGCCCTTTCCATGGGACAGGAATGAATGCTCATCAGATCTCCTGCTCCACTCGAGATGGTGATCATGGTTTATGTGGAGCAACAACTCGTGAGGTGAGGCGTGAGAAAGGAGTTTCAACTTGTCGGTGATCTGCTTGCTGGGGGCTAGATGGTCAATTGGATGCTGTGCTCGCATTTGAAGAATTTGAGGGATGCACAGACGTGCCCATTCTGGTTTTGAGAATGGTAAGCATGACTGTGTGTAGCAAGGACAGTGTTCTTTTGCCCTTGCAGATCCTGCATGTGCCAGCTGCGTGCCGCTCGGAACACGAAGTGTGAGCACGGCATGTACTGGGAGGGTCCAATGTTCCATGCAGAGAAGTGAACGGTGAACGACTTCTTTGCAGACCCTGCAAGCCTGGCTGTAGGAGTTGCATCGGCCAAAGTCTTCGATATGCATGCTAGTACACGTTTCATCAAGCGGATTGAATATCGCCCAGAACATGCTGCGTGCACTCCCAATTCAGAGTTCCACAACTTGATACTTGATATTGATATTTAAGATGTTTTTGTATAAGTTCAGTTGACCACCATGCGGCCCATGATGCGCTTGATGATTTTTTGCAGGTGCACCAAGGGTTGCCACCCAAATCTGCCATAAAGTATGGTCAGCTCCTCAATGATAAACATGCAAATATGAAAAACAACATATTAGCGATGGCCTCCAGCCTAATAGCTTCCAACCTAGCGGGCCTAGCGACGTTTAGTGGCCACATGGCACAGCTGTACACCGGATGCATCTCCACATGTCGCGACAGGTGTCAATTGTTTCTTCAATGACAAGCCCATGCGACGCTTCATTGTTGAAGGCTCAGGCCGGCACAGTAGATGCCATGGCGATGTTAGAGGTAAAGTTCCAGTGCACTGTGACTTTAGGTTCTGATCCATCAACGCCAACCACCTCACCCACAACATTTAGTTGCAAGCTCAACCGCCCAAGTACAACCAAGAGATTCAATTCTTCCATGCGCTGGACAGATGGCCGTGCTGACAGCTGTGACAGCTGCTAGGTGCTAAGATCACCACTTTGGACCCGGCGGAAATTGCTTCACGCTATCCGGCAGGATGCCTTAGGTCATGGAGTTTGGAGGTTTTGCTTCTTGACATTTGTTCAATGTTATTTGCTTTTGGATTGTTTTTGATGTTTTTCCTTTTAGTCCTCTTCCAATCAAGCAAAGTTTCATAAACGTTGGAATTCTGTCTGAGGCTAAGCAAAAGCACGAAGGACCAGGCTTCAAGTGACCTCCAGACTCCAGACTTCGTATCCTTCATGCCGGGAATGACCTGTAAGGCCTTTGCTTGCGGAGACTTCGTATCTCGCAGGATCCCCCCATGCACAGAACTCAGAAGCACAGAATAACTCATGGAATCAAATCTTACGTCTTACGCTTGCCTTTGGCCATTCAAGCAAGCGGCAAGTGTGGCCATGACAAAACTGTGTGTACAATTGTGTATATGGTTGTCGATCTAAAGGTCCTAGTCAGCAGTGTGCATGACGATGACCCGGAACATATCAAAATCTCATTTGGCGAAAGTTTTTCCTCGAGTTGGCGAAAGTATTTTTTTTATATATTTTTTTTGGCGAAAGATCTGGCGAAAGATTAAATATGTACTTTTGTATGAATGTTCATTTGCTTTCTGAACAGCTGGTGGCAGTGACTCAGAAGCTAGATAAGCTGTGGAAGTTAGATAACCTGCTGCTGCTGCGGCTGCTACTACTACTACTACTACTACGACTACGACTACGACTACCACTACCACTACCACCACCACGACCACGACCACGACCACGACCACGACCACTACCACTACCACCACTACTACTACTACTACTACTATTCCTGCTCCTGCTTTGGGGGGTGGCTTTGCCACAAAACTCTACCCCGCAAAAGGCGAAAGTTTGGCGAAAGTTCAGCTCAAGATTGGCGAAAGTTCACCCTGCCACATCTGACCCCCAGCCCATTATGAGTAAGTTTGAGTGACCGGCTACTACAGTGATTCTTGCAATTTTGATTCTTGCTGACACCCAGGAGAAACAAAAGAGACGTACTGGGTGTCAACAGTTAAGTAGAAGACACATGCTGACAAACAGTGAAGTTTCTATTTTGTGTTTGCCAGTAAAGAAGAAGCCATTGACGTGAACAAAACACAACATACATGGCACACATAAATACGACGTACTTCGGCGAAAGATAAAACGCAGGAAGGCAAAAGTTTGGCGAAAGTATTTTTTTTTGGCGAAAATGACGGATCCCAGATAAAAGAATTTAGATCAACTCCCATATAATATTATATAATATAGTTTAATATATATATATATGTGTCAAAACACAAACCGGGTCGAATCCGATCGACGCGAACGGGCGCGCTCGGCCCTTTTCCTGAGCCATTGCGGTCCCTGCGATGCGAGAAGTGAGAACCAAGGTGAACGGGATGGCATTAATGCTGAAATCAACACTCCTTATAATCTCTCCAGCTTTGTAATGTTCTGAAACATTGATTCATTCACCAGTGACCAGCATGTTTTCTTCATCACAGCGGTTCTCCTTCCATGTCTTCATACCTCACTTGAAGACACGTCGTGATCCAGACCGGGGATCAACTCTCCGGTGTGCAAAGAGCTGTGAGAGCTCTCCATCTCAAACCAATACATGAAATAACCGTTAGATAATCTATATTAAAAATCCTAGGGGTCAACCCCGGCCAAAATATGTGTTCCCGAAAACCAGCTGCGTCCAGGCGAATAATCCGATGCGAAAAACCAGCCACAAAGAAAAGATTGGAACAAGGATTCCCATAAGCATGTTGGAACAACATACCAGCAAAATTGATGGCCACATGGTATGTTGGGCCAGGAATTTAGTAATGCATGATTTTCCCTGTTTGTGATTGCTTGCACAGGGTCAAGGTATGATTTTAGTAATATACTACCCTTGAGTGACTGAGGAGTTAACGGAGGCACATGCCAATGTTCATGTTTTGAGTTGACGTGGTTTGAATGATGCTGCCCGCGGCCAGCTGCATCATTAGCATGTTTTGGCTTGAAAAGCAGATATATCAAATATATCTGGTTGTTTAGTGAAAAGAGAGCCTTGTAAAGGGCTCAATTGTGGGACGTTTCCTTGATCCTTGGCACCAAAAAGCACCGATTTCGGTACATGCCGGATGTTTTTCGTTAACCGAGGCCCGATGACCCGTTCCAATTGTCCGACCTCGGTGTATGGCCGTTGTTTTGTTCAAGAACATGCATGTCCTCATATTATATCATTGTGCCTAAATAAATGCCAGGCCAATAGTCGGAACCAGGACATGACCAGCCGGGCCCCTTCACACACAAGACATGACAAAGTGATCAAGTGGTTTGTACATGTTTGACATGCTCAAGTACACACATATCACGGACATTATTTGTGGATGGAGTGTGGGTGGATTTGAGGAAGGAAAGGTTTTGCGGAAGGAAAAATACAGATTTTGGGTGATACTTGTGAGGATCTGCTGTCAGATGCGATCATCAAGGGTTGGGAAAGGATTTTAATAAAACGTCGGCCCGAGGATTTTAACACGACAGAATCTCAGTTAAAAAAATTGACCGTCGACCTTGGAACACATTAAAACAAGAAATGACGTCAGCCCGGAAGGATTTAAATATATTTCAATTAAATTCCTGAGTCCAACGATTCAACGGGTATCATGAAGGCGCACAAATCCTTCAACTCACCTCCAGCTGAGTGGGCTCTAGCTCGGCACCACTTCACATACCCTTTGGCTTCCTCTTCTGTTGATTGCAAAGGTCCATGTAAGACCAATTGCGGGACTTGAGCCTGCCGAAGTTAACCTTGGTCTTTCCCCATTGCGCTGTGTTCACCAAAACCTGGGCAAGGGCCTTGGTCACATAGCACCCCTTAGGTGCCTCAGATCCTTGCGGTTCAACTGCCTGCGATTTGCCTTGCTGCTGATGGGATATTGAGAGTCCGACTGACGTTTTGATGCATCGGACCATGCACCCACAAGCTCACAATAAGACTTCCACAGGCTCCAAACCATTTCGGAGCGCGTTTTGGAACAAGGGTCGCAGCTGTTCGGCATCCTCGGGTGTCAAACGCTCGCACTATTCATTTGGTTCCTAGATGGATGCTTATGTAGCCAAACTGACTACAATTGTTGCGTTTGGCCGTGTTCAGGTGGATAGTTCCAAATGTGGTGGACACAAGAGAAGCTGGCGCGGTACCATGGTGGTAAGTTTCCATGCCGAATCAAGTCAGAGTTAAAACATCGATTCATTTATTCGGCGTTTGTGTGCACCTGTCTCTACTAAATGAATTCTGTGCTGTGTTAAGTTGATTTAGTCTGAGCATCAATGTGCGGCAATGGAAGGCCGTCTCATGGACCTGATGGACAGGCAGCAGGGGCGTGTGCCTCCAAACGGCTGGAGAGTTCCTGAGGGGGAGCGCGACCCTCAGACTCGTTGGAAGATGTGGCAGTCATACTGAGCGACGAGCAGTTGCTTCAATATGCTTCAATTTGGTTGCATGCAATGGCACATTGCCAGGGATATTCAGGAGTTAATGGCAGACCTGGAAGGGAGATTAGCAGCTGCAGCAGGCATGTTTGATTTATTGGTTGATCAATCGAATCTTTCGTTGACCTGTGTTTTGATGTTGTTTTGGATTCCTTATGATTCCTTGGACGTATTTGCCCAATCACAACGGTCTACCAGGTGATCCGGGGCAGCCTCCACTTGGAGACTTGGAGTTGAGACGCCTGCCGGCTGAGGCAAAGTTGTTAAGTTGGTTCAGCATTGTTGGTTCCTAGTAGCGATGCCCTTTGCTCCTAGTAGCGTACTATGTTTAAACCAAACTCATGATGGATCCTGATTAGTAAAAGGGATTCCACCCTGTTAGATGGAGGTCCTAATACAAATAAACTACCACCAAAACAAATCTGGGTTCCTGGGAGGATTCCTTTTGTAATTGATGGTAGTATTCAGTTTCCTTTCTCAGGTTCTTTGTAATTAGATATTCTCAGCAAGACTTTCTTACTACTAAGAATTCTTTGCGGCTTTGAAGAAGAACTAGAGAAACCTACTGTATACTTATCAATACTCTCAGCAAGCCAGGCATTGGCTTAGTAGTATTGAGAATTACTATGCCTATTTATTCTTCCTGAAATAACTGCCCGATTCACGGCCAATAAAGCAAACTTATTATTGAGGATCAGGGGCCTTTCTGGTCTACTACCTTGAAAGTTTGTTTAGGAGCAATCTTTACATAAAGAATTGATTAAGGAATTGATGGCTTTGGAAAGCTGTCAGTTTTGAAGAAGAACTAGAGAAACCTATACTTATCAATATTTTGAGCAGGCCACGCATTGACTTAGTACTCACAGGTCTCCGAATGATTTGAAACCCTAGTGATTTTTCAGATAGTAAATAAATCAGGATCCCCAAATTTTAGCATAATAGAGGACCCTTAAAACAAACATTGTGTCCAGAACTTGTTTTTGGAAATTTTAGCATTATAGAGGGCCCTTTTACGAACCAGGATCCAACATTAAGATATTACATGATGTTGCAGTATCTCCATGTATCTCCAGCGTCTTGCCCTCCCAGGTTCTGAGTTTTTGAAATTTATTGTTGAAATATGTGTATTACAGTTTATAGTATAAACAAGATTGCTATAAAAAGGCAATGTCCTGCCAGTTCATGCTAAGCTTCTGGTTTGAAGAAACCAAATAAGTCGAGACGACTTTGTGAGCGTTGAGAGGCCTTGAGTGGCGCATCTGTGGTCTCCCGACCTAAGGAAGTTGGGAGCCCTGGCTAACAGTCTCACAGTTGTTTCTTGTTGAAGTTTTAGATACTTTCAATATCTTTCAATAAAACCGTTTCAACGCTCTCGTGACAACTTGTTTGATCCGTTTTCAGGTCAAACCCTGCAGAGCTGTGTATCTATTTCTGCATGCCCAGAGCCTAGGTTTCAGCTGGTATGAGCAACTCGGTTTCGCCATGTTAGATTCAGGACATACCAAGTGATGGTGCCGGAGAGCTGCTGTTTGTGAAGTCGAAGCTCCAGGCTGGGCTCCAGTGCGCATTTATTTTTGCAAGCTTCTTTGTACTAGTAGCGTCCTTCATTGCTGCTACTGACAAATTGCAAGACAGAACTATATTATGCATGGAAGGACTTGCATTTGTTTGTATGTTACTTTGTTGCTATATTATCTATGTTCTCGCTCAGGTGAGGGCTCGCGAAGGCTTTGCGGTCGTTTGGGACATGGCCAGCGACTTAGTGCGTAGAGACGTGGAATCAAATCAGATCCCTTGCATGTGCCAAGGTACAGCCTTAGATTTTTAAGGACGGTATAAGAGGCCCTTGCTATACCATACTATCCCCATACATCCCTTACCTTTAGTTACTTTAGTTATTTTACCCAGGACTCTTCGGAGCATCAAGGCCTGCCACCGCGAAATCGTGGAGTCCTTGGCCGCTCTTGGCTGTTGGCCGTTTCTCCCGTATGCCGAGAAACGCTGAAACGCGTTCAGCCTGTTTCTTCCGAGGTGCACGGTATGGCATTTCTTGTACATTTTGCCTTTGATTTTGAGGAAAAAGTTAGATCGCCTCAAAGTGCCTCTTTGCAAGGGCCCTCCAGTATTCTGTTCTGTCCTTGCAGATCAGCTTGCCATACCATACCTGCAGCCATTGATTAGCAGAATGAGATGGGGGTCTTAGATCGTTTGAAGACAGGGCCACTTGGCCGTCGCCCAAAAGCACAGAGCTCAAGATAAAAGATGCTAGGATGAAGACAATTGTCCGATCAGTTGTCAGTTCCAAGGCGTAATGCTTGATTCCCTGTACGGAAATTTGCTTGGTCACAAGCTTTGATTAGATGTCACGCAGAGTTTGTCTCGGTGTGCACGTTGAAAGAACGCTTGTCCTTCATTTTTATCCCAGCATTGAGGCGCAGATACATCTGCTGCAGACAAGCAAAAGGGTGAAGGAGATGATATTTTTGCTGAGCCCAAGGCAACTACACCGGACCAATAAATACCGTAGCAAAATGTTGCCAATCGCTTCGACTTGAACTTTGAAAGTCCGTGGCCCAAAAAACATGGCTGGAAAGTTGCGCCATTGCATTGCGAGGGCCGTCGCAGCTGTTTGGTTTCAGGTGCCATATTATGAGACGTCCACTTAAAATCCGACATTGTGCACCGTGCTGATTACATTGTGCATTCACGTTTCTGAATTTGAGTCAAGATTGACCTTGCAGACACGTCAGACAGACATGTTCCTGTCTCAAGACTCCTAAAGTGTCATCACTCGGGCCATGGGGTTGGTATGGTCCGCCAGTTGCAGCTGCATACAGAAAGAAACTGAGCCGACAGCAGAGCCAAGCATCGCCCCGAATGTGTCACTTGTGTACCATGATCGGCTATCCTGCACATCAAAAGAGTCAGATGCAAGCTGCAGGTTGCCAAGGCGGTTGAAGATGGAGAGTGCTGAGAAACAACACTCGTTTGAAGCAGCGGCGCAATTGAAATCCACAGATGCGGAAAAGGACGATGTGAAGACTAGTGTGTTTGCTCCGGAAATGACAGATGCTACTGGAGATATGAAGAAGGAAGGTGTGAAGTCAACTGTTTCAGCTCCCGAAATGACAGATGCTACTGGAGATATGAAGAAGGAAGGTATGAAGTCGAGTGCTTTAGCTCCCGAATTGACAGATACTCCTGCAGATGAGAAGAAGGAAGCTGCGAGGTCGAGTGATTCAGCTCCTGAAAAGACAGATACTGATGTGGGGCCAGCAGCTGAGAAGTCAAATGTTGTCCCCGAAAGGACAGATGCGGCAGATGTGAAGAAGGAAGCGAAGGAAGCTGTAAAGCCGAGTCCTTTACCTTCAGAAAAGGCAAAGACTCCGGATGTGAAGAAGGGGGCTGCAGATTTGACTCCCAGTCGGAAGCCCAATTGCCACAGCCAGGCCTTTAGTGTTATGATATGTTATGATGTGTTTTGTATCCCTGCTATTCAATTCCAGATGACTTTGTCATGGATCTGACTTAGCACTTTGACGAGTTGTTTCTTTGATGGTCCTAAACAAGTTCACGATGTGTAGCACATCCAAAACCAAGTCCATCTACGTTACCTAGGCCTGACAGTTCGTTCTAAGGAAGCAGAACTTTGTGAAAGATTGATTTCTTTTTGCTCTTCCCATGCTCACAATGCCCCAACAGCACAGATAACGACTGTTGGGTGATATTTGGCAAGCATGCTTCCCACATTGATACATGCATCCAAGTGTATGCATCCAAGGTAATATTGACTTTGCACAGCTACCCTTGGATCATTCCCTTCAAACAAAGTCTTTGCAGCTGCAAAATCGATGCAGGTAGATTTTGCTGCCAGTGCATCCTTTTGATCTGAAAAGGGATAAAGATAGTATAGAACCTGCAACGTGTTCATGAGATGACGATGCCACAGCATACAACAACCTGTGCATTGGCATCAGCCTGGACGGCTCCGTAGATGCCCTGCCATTCTGTTGATCATGTTACAGGACAACATTTGGCGTTTCTGTTTACAGATTGTTCGTTTGAAGAGATCATTGTCGTGACACATCCCCTTTTCAAATCAAGGAGGTAAATTGGCCCCGGTCAAGCAAGCAGGGCTCCTGTTGGTTGCTAAAGCAAACAACTGCCCCGGCAGCAGCATAAAAGCCAGTGACAAAGGTACTGTACCTCCCAATTATTGCTCCGATTTCCTCGCAGCAGACAGGGTCATTTTGCAGTGTCCCTACTGTTGGAGTCGGCTGGTGCCACACACGCACGACAAAGACACATAAATATATATATATATATACGTACATGTTTGAGCTTTTTGGTTTGTTGTGGTCTTGGTGTTTGTTCTACCCCCGCCTCGGTTTGGAACAAGGTTTCTCAAAAACTCACACACCGACAGACACATAATCATACAAGCGTGATGGCTACGGTATGTTGTTGTATGACTAATGACTAACATGGTCCATAGCGATGCTCAAATGTGCGCGCCATTGAGCTGAGGCAAAGAAGCGGATTATGCAAAACCTGAAGGGCCTGAAGCTAGAAAAAGCGCAGTTCCCGACGAAGATCCTCCGCTGCCTCCGCCTGCTGGGCCACCACCACTTGACGCTCCAGTTGGCAAGTCTGCTGGCAAGGGAGGGCGAGGGCGAGGCAAATCTCGTCCAAAAGGATAGTTTTCAAGACGCACACAGCCATAGCCCTCGAGCTGGACTTCTGACTGGTCGTCCAGGTGTTTGTGGAGGATGTTTTTTTCGATGCCTACGGCGGCATTTGCAGCAGGATCAAAAGTCATTTCTTCAGAGGAATGACCTACCAGGAGGGAAGAGCGCAAAGTTGCAGAGCTGTCAGGCTTGCGAGATTCAGGTTACACCGCAGAGCGGCCTCACGCAACAAGCACTTGAAGGAAGAGCTGCTGAGCAAGTTTGCACCGCAACGTTGGATTCTTCGAGCAAGACTTGCTGAGAGAGGTGGAGGGCTTGCAATGTTGTGTCACCGTGTCACTTCGCTGCTAAAGAGAGCCGCGCACCTGTGCTGATGAACAAAAATGAATAAGACACAGTGAGAAAGGGGAGGAAACTCTGTTCCGCTGATTTTATGTATGTTTCTATATTGGGCCTATAAACACGCGTCAGTGGGCTGGATGAGCTTCTGGGCTTGTTCATTCGAGTTTTGACAGTAAACGACATATACGACGTTGACTTCTCTTAAGATGCAAAGAAGATACTCAATAGTCATTTAGAGTGATCAATCCATATTTTTTGGAAGCCTTTTCAAGTTCTCCACCAATCACTCAAAGATACTCAAAGACTGTCCAGGGAGAATCTTAAGTTCGCCAGTTTGCAGGCCGCACCTATCCACGCCCCTTGAACCCTTGTGATATCGACCACAAAAAGGACACCTTGAGTGACCCAGGTCAATGTCCACTTAAGACAACACTTTTCACATTGGCTACTGTACGTAGTGTGTTTAAACCGCCAGTCAAACAAGCAGCCATGCTCAAAGTTAACATTACTACAGTGAGTTATATGTTGAAGTGGAACAGTGGAACTTGTTTTGGAAGGTAGGCTACAAGTACAGTAAGTGTGTGCATGTAGTGATTGTTGGGCGTGTGGCAGGCAGCTGCCCCTGCTGCTGACAAGCCAGTTGAAAAGAAGATGGAGGTGAACGGGTGCACAAAATCCCGTGGCTTTGGGTATGCCGCGTCATTACAGCAATGTTTCAGCCACTGGTTGTTTTTGAAGGACAAAGGTCCTCCCAGCAGCGCTCCACTTCCACAGGCCTTCACACATCAAACTATACATCACTGGACATAATTATGTTATATTGCTGTATGTTGTCACTGTCAACATGGTTGAGCACGAGTTGGCATGCGTCTCAGACCTTCTCAGCCGCGAAGCTGATGATGCCACCTGTGCGGAAGAAGGTTGGTGTGCTGAACACTGCTTTATTCTGGTGCTGCATTTTGTGTGTGTGTGTGTGTTTTTGTTTTTTGTAAATGAAGCTTGGAAGCTTGCCGGCCCACCTTTGAGGTGGAGCCAGTAAGGAAGCCATCCATGCCAGCCTTGGACCTCTCAAAGCTGGCTGCAGTCGATCTCTCAGAATTGGAGTGACATTTTTCACGACCTCCCCTGGATTCATGGCCCATGGATTCAAGCTACTAGGAACAAGTGCATCGCTTCTAGTAACACGTGCCTTACTAGTAGTAACAAGAAGCTAGTAGAAACAATATATAAATTGACTGTTTCGTGGTTATTCTTTGATATGTCAGGAGAAGGAAGCCCTCATGAAGCAAAGAGCAGCAGCTGAGACCAGCAGAGCACAGGCCTGGAACAGAGGCTAAAGTAGCCACACTTTGGGGGAATTTGTCCGGTGTAGGCTTCACAGGTGTCCACTTCTGCGCCCAGCTCTGCCAAAAGCTCGGCCATTCTGGGTATCATTCCGAGCCATTCTGGGTGTGCAACTCCGCAGGCCCGACCACCTGAAAGTGATGGGTCTCCGGTCGCACTGGCTAAGCGATTCTAACCAATGGAACCAATGGAGTCAAATTGCTGGTGACCGGTGGCTTTCTTGGATGTGTGATTTCTTTGTAGTCGTGGAGTCATCAGAGTCATTGGTGAGAGGTTTGTGATTTCTTCGTGTGTGTTCAACGGTCATGCCAGGTGCAAGCAGCGCTGAGCGAGCCGATAGCCGATGCCTTGTACAGGGGTTATATACCAGTAGCTAGTAGCTGCTGTTCGTTTGCTACACAACAACCCTGCTAGAAATGTCCCTACCACAAGCGTTGCTCCCGGAGCAGCTTGGACTACAGTATCACTTTGTTTTTTAAAGCCGGTGGCCCTGCCTCCCTAGGTTGGAGGTCATCGCTCTTGGGTTGGAGTCCATCGCTAGTAGGTGCCTCCTTACTTAAGGGAGTGGTTACTCCTAGCTAGGACGGATAGCTCAAGCGCTCGCACAAATTATTTGGTTCCTAGATGTTTAGGGAAACTTAACAAACCTTAACCGAGGCTGCCAACCTATTTGGCGACCCCAATGAGGTGCCAGTTTAAGCGGCAAACCTGAGCGCCAATGTGTGATGTGCCTGGCGGGCTTGAGTTGTCGAAGGAGTACGATCCTGCCAAGCCCAACGACTACGATGAGTTCTGTCGTCGCAGGCGCAAGTCATCAAGCGGAAGTCTCGGATCTCTTGTAGTCCCCAGGGGTGCCGGCAGGGTAGAAACTTCAAATGGTATCGACTAGCAGCGCACTTCCTATCAATCTCTATCAATAGTAGTAGTCAAATCCAGCAGTAGAGGTAGTCGAGTGGAAGTACATGGGAGTGTTCAAAAGGTCCTGGGAAGGACTTTATTGGTCGAAAGCCCATGAAACATATGAAACCAAAAAAGAGTCTGTAGTTTTTGGAGTTAATTGAATTATGCACTCAATACTCACAATTTCTTGGGGGTATGTGCACACCAGAATATTATGCTTATCCAAGCAGTCCATGGTATAGGTGCATGATGGCTCATACGTTGGTATGGCATTTGCATGGCTGACTAAGTGTTGCCGAAAATTGCCGAACGATTATTTGAAGGCCGATTGGCCGACAGGATGCTTTCAGCCAATCAACACCCTTTGTCCCGTCGTGTCAGGATGAGGCAAAAAGCCGAGGAGGAGATGGAGAAAAGACGGCAGGACAGTAGGAGCAAGGACGCTACTAGGGGCTCCTGGCATCGCTACTAGGACCAAGGACGCTACTAGGGGCTCCTGGCATCACTTGAGCCAGTGACAAGCATCTCATTGTTCGTCAAATGGAAACAGATTGGTGAACGAGGATGCTCTCGCTCGACAACAACAAAGCAACAAGCCAGCTCCACCCAAAGAGGACTCAACCTTTGCTCAAGAAGTTGTCCTTAAATAGAGTCAGAATACATCACGTGCTTGACATGTGGGGGAAGACAGGTCTTCGATTTGCTTGGAATGCCAGATGAAATTGACCCTAACATGTCTCTCGCACAATTACAACACGGCCTAAAGGTCATCAAGGTATTTCTATTCACGTTTAAGCATGTTGGCTTTCACCTCATCAAGTCATGCCATTGCACCACCTATCTTATCAACGGAAGATGCACATACATTCACTAAATATATCTCGATATGATGTGTGTATAAATATATGATGTTATTGAAAAAACAAAGCTTCAAAGCAACGGTATGATGGCTTTTGAGTGTTAATGTGGGAGAGACCGCAGCCAATTTTGATTCTACGCAGGACGACTTTGCAACAAAGATGATGAAGAAAATGGGTTGAATCTCACAGTGGATGGATTCCCACTGATCTACATGCCAAGTTGTGTCAAAACTTCCCGAACTGAAGATGTTGATGCAAATGACCTGTCTTAGGTTGGAAGGAGGGAGGTGGTCTTGGAAAGGAGGGGCAAGGTATGGCAAATCCTTTGGCAGAGTGCTCAGCATCTCAGAAGCCAAGAGATCTACAGGTTACTTGCTTAGGGTTCATCAAGAGCTTTGGATGGCATGGATGAGGTCATGCAGAAGACTGACCAGAAAACTGGCCGCATTGTTGAGGGGAGCTCGAAAAGGGAGGCCAGGGCGAGATGAAGCGTTTTGTGCTCCTAGCATCCCTGAGCTTGGTTGCCAGGCACCATCACCACCTCAAGGTCAGCCAGATCAAAAACAGGCCAGGAACGCATGGCCTTTCTCCAGGGGGGTTGACAGCTTGCATTCTCGGAATGGCTGCTGGAGTTTTAGCGATGAAGTTTGTTTGAGCACAGCTCTGTTTTTGTCACAAGCCTCCTTGACAGCAGTAGGAAACGGCAACCTGTCTATATAAGATGTTCTGATTTGCTTCAGCTATTTTTTTCCACCTCGGTTCTCACTTGGGTAGCCTTGAGATGTCGGCGGGCTGACAGAGCAAAGTTCAGCAAACTGATATGTATACAGTTAAAAGGATAAAGAGGTTAACGTGCCTCAAGGACCATTCCTTTTGACATGGAGTTATCAGGTCAAAGGGTTCCTATCTGTCCTATCCTTTCTTTGAAGGGTGTCGTTCGAAAGATTTAAACTGTCGGCATCAGTACAGATCTGGACAGATTACACATTTGTTCTGTTGGTCCAACTCTGGAGAAGCCCAGAAATGCTCAGAAACCTAGTGTGGATGGTCCGTCGAATTGGTGATCAGGCCAAAGCCGCACCAACCCTGTGTGGTGCCCAATTGCATGTTCTCACACTGTAGAGCGCAGCAGCATCATTTTCACGGCCATGCGAAATAGACATCGATTGATTACTGTAATTTGTATGCCTTCATATGCCTTCCATGTTTCTGGAAGCTGGCTTTTGTGGAGCCACTGGTGTGCCGTAGCTAATCGCTACTGTAGTTCAATTCAAGTTGATTGAGGCAGATGGGATAGGCCAGAGTTGTACCAAAGACCATCACCATACCCCAGTCATCAACGATTGAATCACGGCCAGTTCGGTATCTCATGCTGCCACTGCGCTAAGGCCCCCAACACGGGTGCTGTTGCTGAACAATATGGTTGGCGCAGGTGATGTTGATGAGGCAGCACGCGCGAAGTGCGACCCTGTTTCATGCAACAAGTTTCTCAGGACCTTGAAGAAGAAACAGCCGAGGAGGCCAGTAAGTATGGCAAGCTCAAAAAGCTTGACCCTCGGAGTTGTAAGTGGGTCAGGTACGGCTTTGCTGCACCTGAATGCTTTTGCTTGCAAGGTGCGTCGTCAAAGAGCTGTCTGGCAAATCCGACGACGAGGTGGCGTGCCAAAAATGAATTGAATATGTATGCGGCTTGAAGCTACGCAGTGCGCACGCTGTCTGGTGAACTTAAGCACACGTTTGGTTTGAGAATGAGCAGCAAAGGCCGTTCGGATATTTTTGGAGTACGAGGACGTTGCGGCTGCTACAAAGGCACGGCAGATATGACTCCAAGGGCTGGGACATCTGTAGTAACAAGGGCATCGCTACTAGGAGCAAGGATGCTACTAGGGGCTCCTGGCCTTACTACGAGGAACAAGAAGCTACTAGTAACAAGGGCATTGGAAGGTAAACTTGCGAAGCTCAATCTATTGCCTGAAGCTACTCGCATGAAATACGCTGACAGATGGCCGTAGAGTAAACGTGCCAAGAGACTAGCAAGGTTTCAAGTTCATGTTACTAGCAGGACATGTGTTGGATATGTAGAAATCAAGTACAAAATGTTTAAAGGAGAGCGCAAGAGAAATCAAGCCCGGTTGACGGAGGCTTTTGCGGACCTCAACGGCCGATACTTCGGAGGGAGGACGGTACGAGCCCGCTTCTTTGACGAGAAGCTCTTCGCGCAGGACCGATGAGCTACACCATGTTCTAGGGAGTTACAGGTTTGATTGAGCCTTTCCGCAGCGTGATTCAGGTCTCATAGATTCAATTCTTGCATCAGTGGTTCAGCATTCAGCAGAAGCTGTTGTCCATTTCACGTTGATACCTGGTACTGTCAGATGTGGTTCAAGTGACAGCAAGTGATTAGCTGTGGCCAAGATGCCACCTCCCAAGACGCCAATCGATGAGTTATCGCCTAGTCTTGATGTTGAGGACTTCTTTGTTCATATCCTTGAAGCCACCAATGAAGATGGTTGGATGAACGTGCAGAAGAAATTTGATAAGGATGCATTAGACCATGATGGTCAAATTTGCTACAGATTTTCAGGTTGTGGATCTTGCATGACCCGTTTGAAGTTCGTGGTCTCGTCTCATTTGCCTGCCAATGAACTCATGATTCGCCCAGAAGTTTCAAGCCGCAGTATGTCAGACATCACTGGCTTGCTCCAGGCACAGTACAGACACCAGGTCAATCCAGGTGATGCAATTATCGAACTGGCAAGTGAACAGACTGAGTCTAGCTTGCGGGGATATGCTATGAGACAGATCTTGGAGAGTCCATCTGTGCAACATGAGAAGGAAGACGGTCAAGATCATAGTGGTTGGGACAGTTACCTTGCCAGAATGATTGTGCGAAAAGACGTACCTGAGCGTGGCATGGCTGCTATGGTGGTGTTGCCACTTGGGCGTCGGCACACCGTTGTTTTTCAGGTTGGGGCAGTCAAGGCCTACACACTGACTGTTCAGCCGCATGAGGACCCTGGCAAAGTCATCGTGGCCCATGTGATGTTCTTGCCCTTTTCAGCATACCCGACGTGGGCAACACAGCATTTCTCAAAGTTAGCAAATATGGAGAAAAACAACTTCATGAAGTACTTGAAGGCACAAGACTTGCCGCGGCTTTGTGAGGTTGATAGAACATACTACACTGTTCTGCATTTGAGAGGTTGCAATCGGGGGGTGCCGCTGCTACCTTCTCAAGATGAAATAACGAAAGATTCAGACAGTTCAACCTACGTTGTAATCTCTGGTGAAGACGGATCCGATTCCTACTGGGTTAGATGGTCTGATAGTACTTTCACGTTTGAAGCCTACCTTCGACAACTGCTGGCTCGTTGTGAAATTGAATTGAACGTGTTCACAGAACTGAGTGGCAGGAAGCTTGTTCCATATCAAGTGGCTGTTCTGACGCATGAGTGGGAATCGTGCAAAGATCAAGTCATCGCCGCTTTCCACAAACAACAGAGAGCATACAGGCGAATGAATGGCGGCGTCAGTGCTCCGCGTGTGGGTGAAGCACACGACGCTCGATTCCAGCATTCTGATCCAAAGCCCAAAAGCGCATGCTTCGTGCAGCGCTCTTGTGACATGGTCGTGCGGAAGACGTTCATCGACATGACCGAGTCTGACTGGACAGAAGGCAACCGCCATGGGTGGATCGGTGCACAAAATCAGGTTGGCGGTGCATTGATCCGGACTTCAACTGCAGATTTCTAGACGTTGAACGAAGATGAACGAAGGTTATAAATATCCAGAGGTTCGCTTGATTTTTCAATTTGTGCCCTGGACAGACTCCGAAATGGAGCTTGAATCCAGATGATCAGATATGTTCCTGCTGAGCACCTGATAAAGGTTCTTGTCATATGGAACTCAAAGCCGCCACTCAAAATCTGTGAGAATGGTTGGTTTTTGTTGGAAACTGCAGCATCGCATCGCAGGAACTAAGTCGAGAGCTGTGCAGTACCCTGCAAGCTGTGCAGCTGTTTCAGTCAGAATATGGAGAATGTCAGAGCATTCTGGAAAGACTGACTAGAGTATCGCAGGAATTGCGAGCTCTACAGTTTCCAGGATAAGAGGTCTGTCTCACTTGCTCGTGCATGGAGAACACCGACGCATTTTGTGCCCCAGAATAAGCTTCAACCCTTCCCAGGGACTGTTGCCAAGATTGTGCCTGTTGGTAACACATTGGGCGTCTCATGTTGGGTAAGCAAAACGTTTGTTGGCTGATGAAATGTCCCGCTTTGTTGGAATCGAGAAGCTCAAAGTTTTGGTGAGGGCCAGGGTCACCTCGGCCAATTGGAAAGAGGAAACCCGGTCCCATGGCCATGCGTTGGAGATCTCCAGTCCCGAAACCGCGAAACCAGCTTGAAAAAGAATGTCTATTTGGGCAAGTCCTGGCTGAAGGGATGGCCATCATGAGTATAGTGTGCAAGAATGCAGGATCAAACCTGTCCTTTTCCAGCGGCCACATTATGCATGTGCAAAGTTTGTTGGGATGTTTGTGTGGTTTGGACGTAGAATAGCGCTCAATGCACAGAAGCTGTATGCATCGCTGCTTGGCCCCAAACTCCTTTGGCAGGGACAATTTGAAGCAGGATGAATGTCCGGGCCTCGTTTGAATCATTGTCCTAAACAATGAATAGTGCGGTGAGCTATCCTGCGTCCTAGGTAGTAGCTTACTTACTTAAGCTACTATTTTCTACCCCCCCAAAAAGTAAACACCTTGTTCCAGTTTCTGGTGTCGCGAAAGCGGCACGTAGAGGTCATGTCAAAGATGGTGACGACCTGTTTCACGCGAAGAAAGTTGCCAAAAGGATGAGCAGGACCTACTTTGAGAAGGAATTAATAAACAATGACAGTGGAAAGGCTAGTGCACTTTGATGACTTTGCACAATTTGTACATTGCATGACTTCCCCACAATTGATGGCTCTCCGCAGTGCATTGATCGTTGGATCCTTGCGTACGTCTATCAGTCTACTGATCTCTTATATTATATAGTATAAATATACCATCCTACAATCCTCCAACCAGTTACAGCGACTTCCCAGAGGTCATACAGCAAGCCACAGACAGTAGTGTCTCGCAACAAGGGCAAGGTAATTACCTCAGCACCGCAAAGCAACTGAATGGATTGAAGCTTGACTCTTTGTTTATTATCTTTTGCCCTTGTGTTTTGTTGGGACTACATCCCTTGCATTCCCTTGCCATGGGGAATGGCAAGTCAAAGGAGGAAACAGTCAAAGAGAAGGCTGGACATAGGGGAGATGCACGGCGACGGAGACGCCGTAGTGTAGGTAACTCGAATCCCACTCACCAGCCAAGCCAAAGATTGAAGCCAATCAGGCTCAGTTTCAATCTGCAAATTCGGAGAAACTCAGAAAGTGAACACACGTTTTTGCCTCCTTTTGAATTCAAGGTTTAATGATTTGTCGTATCCTCTTGCAAGCGGTTCTGCCAACTTTGCTTCCAGGCCAGAGAGTGGCAGAGACAGATTCGTGGCGAGTCGCGCCGAATAGACCGTGATGTGTCCAGAATGCGTACCCCACCGAGTTTGCAGCATGTCAAAATGGCTGCCTGCTTTTTGAGACTTGGTTTCCTATATATTTATTGATTCAGCCGGCTTGAGATTTGAGGCCAAGAAGAAGAGAAACTCAAGAAGGAAATCAAGACCATGGCTGAAAAGGGCCAGGCCGCAAGTGTGACGGTCCCAGCAAGTACTTCTTTGGGGTCTTGACACTGGACACTACTCGAAATAGTTACTAGTAGTTCATCTGCAGGATTGCCACGTGAAGTGTTCTCACATAAAGCTTTTGCACACATAGACGAGTTTGGGTGATATTCGGTGGAATTTGTTGTGTTTTTTTGTGCTTTCTACTTCCCCATGAGTCCCGCACAGGGCCGCATGCGCCTGTGGACAACCTTTGACACTCAATCCTACTTTGTGAGCCAACAAGTCCGGTTTCTACCAATACAGCCTCAGAACCTGCACAAGACTTGTCAGTAGGCTCACAACCACCCATTCTTGTCAGCGGTGCTAGTATGTGCAATGTGTAACATTGTGTAACTTCCTTTCTCATTTGGCTTTCCACATTTTCTGAGGTCAAAACTTTGGCTCGGCAAGTTGTGCGTTCCAGAAAGGCAGTAGCGCGGCTGGAAAGGAGCTGCAAGAGCGCAAGCCTGAAATGATCCAAAGCGACCCCCATCATGCGCCAGGACCAAATGTTCCATGTCAGCTGTCAACTTGCATCTCACCACTGTCAGCATCCAAGAATGATGGATGATGAGTCTGATGTATAATTTAATGGCATCACAGAAAGGCATGGTCGCTCACACTCACACCGGAGCTTCCAAAGTGAAGAGTTGAGAAGAAGGCCGTGGCATCAATGTCGACAGCGAGTGCTTTGAAGATGTCGTCTGGTGTGATGAAGGAGATGAACAGGCAGTGGCTCGAATAGCTTCGACAGAGTCCTAGTTGCTCAAAGAAGAAGTAGTCAGGCTGATGAATGTTCCAGAGCTTCAACGGACAATGGAGGAGCCTTGATTCCAACTGATAGTGAAATACATCAGACGCTTATTTAATCTTATTTATATCATTCAGGTCATAAAATTTTGCACCAACATTGAGGAGATGAGGCAAGAGATGATGCGTGCAGAGATAGCTGATGAGATGATGGAAGAAGGCTGGCTCCTCATTGCTCTCAATTCGCCATAGGATAATAGGAGCACCTATCAAAACATGTCCTTATGATAGCTTAAAGGATCCTGGACATCATGTTTGAACATGCTAGTGATTGTAGTACAGATCCTGAAGGACGATAGGGTGGGGAACAAAAACGATATATACCTGATTTTGATTAGCTACATTTATTTGGGCATTATGTTTGATAAATATATAGTCTGATAATGTTTGATATATGCTTTGAGAAAGATATATCCTTTGCGGTCCCTTGGATGTTGCCTCCCTGTTTTTGTTGCCTCAAAACGGCAGGGTTTTAGCGGAATTTTCAGCATGGCAAACGACACCCAAAACGATAGCTCAGTATTAGCAAAGAACATTTTAGCCATAGAACGCTTTGTGTCACGTGTGGGAGTCTGCCACTGCGGGTGCGGGAGTGCTAATTCCCAAATCAACGCAAGCCTTCAAAAACGATAGGGTCGGCATGGGTCGGCAAAAATCGATACCCCCCTTTTAGTCCTAGTAGCGATGCCCTTTGTTACTAGTAGCGTCCTTGTTCCTAGCAGAAGGCCAGGAGCCCCTAGTAGCGTCCTTGCTCCTAATGTCCTTTACCGCATGCAAGAGGCTTAGATCGCCGCTCATAAATCAAGTTGATTACAAGAGGTTTGGGAGACTCTTGCAGGCAGCTCAGCAAACAATCTGCCAGCTGACAGTTTGTTGCACCTGTATTTTACAGTGATTTTCTATGCAGCCCATCACTGGCTGGCCACGAGACACTGAGTCAGACAACCTGTTTCAGGGCGTTTCAACTTGATTTTTGTGAAGCCTTGCAGGCTTCCAAGAATCAGATGATGAGACTGAGATCGACTCCGCTGTTGCCAGAGTTTACGAGGTGTGGGCGGATTTTGCCGGAAGTTGCTGGTTGTTGCTGTATGATTTGCATGAAGTGGCATGAATTGGCTTTGTAAGGAGCTCGCCCTTGACAAGTCGCAATTGATGGATACAGGACGTTTTACCGTGCAAACAAACAAGTGGAAATATGCAGTTTTCTGCTGATGCTTTAATGACGTCGGACACGTTTGCAGGAGCCGCTGCTACTCCAGCACCTGTGGCCACACCAGTACCTGAAACCACAGAGGTGCGAACTTGCAGAGTGAGTCCTTTGAAGTTAAGTTTCAATCAATCTTGACGCCTGAGCTTTCCTGCGTCCTGGGTAGTATATATTATCATATATATATATAGCTACTTCAGCTTGCTAGTTTATTACTTACAAAGAACCCGAGCTTTGCTTGCTTATATACAGCTTCTAAGCTTTCTAGTGGTCAACCCCCAAAAGAAAATATATTTGGACACATATGCTTTTAAGACGCACTTCCGACGCACTATTTATCTTGAAACCATATGTGCTTGTCGACATTGGCCTTTCTGCCAGCCCAGCCTCAACCAGGATCCTTTGATGAAGCGCTTGCAAGAGCTACAAAGGCATTGCTGTTGGAATGATGTTTGCCATTGTTTGTTTGAATAATATATTGCTACCTGCTTGGAATACTCTAGAATTGCCCAAGCGGGTGAAGGTGAATCTCGACCTGGAAATGCTGCTCTTTTGAACGGCACAGAAGGGCGTCGTATCTTTTGCTGGGCATGTGCAGCATGCCAGCTTTTTGCCAGAAGCTTTGCACTTGCACATGTACAGAGTGAGAGCTTTGAGAGCACCTTACTGCCGTCTTTGCTCAAGTGATATGTGTGAGCGAGATCGGGGAGATGTAGCCGCAGTGCGAAGGAGCACAAAGGAGCGAATCAAGTGCCAATTCTATTCTGTTAGTTGATTTGTCGATCTAATCTATCAGAATCAGACATGTTTATATTGTTTTATTTTAGTATATATATAGTTCTCAAGTTATGTAAAGCCTGCCGTGACCCAAAACTCATGCTGCCCCACAAGAGAGATTGATCCGCCTGGTGCTGCAAGAAAGCTTTCAGAGTCTCAAAAGCCTTTCACGACCATTCCAAGGCAATCCTTCCCAACTTAACTTCTTCTTTCAGGCGATCAAGGTCACAATAAATGCCGCAGTGGCCCCGCAACTCCTGGGCTGATGGTGTGCTTGTTTTGCCAGCATTCCCTTTGTTTTATGTCGACCGGTGGGTCGCTCCCACCCTCCTAATGCTGTGTCGCGAAGCACAAGTGCTGGCACAATGGTTCCAAGGATCAACCTTCGAGAGGAACCTTTGTCTTGTTCAACCCACAAGCAAGCATATCATTTAAGTTTCCACAGCCAAAAGGTTGACAATGTTGTATTATATAATTATATACAACTTTAAGATGCAATAGATGCAACTACTCCTTGAGCAGTTCATGCGTTCTTGGCCACTGTTCCTGTCGTTTGCAAGGATGTGCTGGGCAGTGCATAATTGGCAACATGCTTTCTGCCCTTCAATTGTCGCAGCTGGCAACTCTAAGCCTGCAATTTCTCACAGTGTACCCCTTGGAAGGATGGTCCGTCCATTCTTTCTTTTCATATCATGCATTAGCTTTACTCGTGGAGCTGGGTCAGACAAGGATGGCTTGGACATCCGCCTTGATCCAACAGCGCCATAGTATCAAAGATATGAGGCCAGTCGAGCCAAGGCCAGATTCATTGCCAGAAGCAGGTGGCTTGGGTGGCTCGGATTCCGAGTTTGAAGGACTTGTGGAGCCCAAGAGGTTTGAAGAGATGGTGCAACAGGAAGAGCGGTCTCAGCAGCAAGAGACTTCGATTCCTCCTTGGCTGGTGAAGAGCTATGCTATAATGAATGCATGCAGACCGAAAGTTTGCTCCACTTGGCAAATGCTTCCACACTTTCCCCACAAGGCACGAGCAAGAAGCTAGTAGTAGCAGGGGCATCGCTGGTAGTAACAAGTGCATTGGTACTAGTAACGACGGCATTACTGCTAGTGGCAAGAAGCTACTAGTAGCAAGGTGCCTCGCTACTAGTAGCAAGGACGCTACTGCTACTAGTAGCAAGGTGCCTTACTACCAGTAACAAGAATCTAGTAGTAGCAAAGTGCACACCAAGGAGCCACGGAGATCACTTTCAACGACTCAACGTATTTCAGCTGTGGCATTTGATCGACCGGACTGCCCGTTTGGCTTCAAATTTCTTCACATCGGAAACTCCAAGATGGACCAGGTTTGCTGCCCCAGTGCCAATATGGCATGCCCAGGATGTGTGGATTTGCAAGGATCTACTTGCGATCGATGCGACACTGGGCTCGTCAAGTCGCAGGGTCGAGGCACATGTGTCATTGGCAGCGATGTGGAAGGCTGGGAAGATCCAAGCGGATTTGGGTGCTCTCATTGTGAGTCTAAAGGGTGGTGCAAAGACGGTGCGCCCACACCAGCCGGCGAACACAAATTCAAGCAAAAGCTCATATGTGCCTTTAGCTGGAAGACCAGATGAATGGATTGCACTGTTTTATTTGTTTCGCATGTTACCTTGTCTTTTTAGTAGTAGGTTGAACAAGGTTCCTCGACGGAGCACCACACAAGTTTGCGCCTATACATTATACAGGTGCATGGATAGTCCGGGCCGGTCCGGGCGGGCCGGGCCACCGCGGGCCGGGCCACTGCGGGTCGGTCCGGGCGGTCCGGGCCGGTCCACTGCGGTCCTTCCATTTGTATAGGTCCTTTGTGGAATCCACCAAACCACACCTCAAATCCACCGCCCCGGCGTGGCGTAAGGAGACCACCTGACGCAGTGGGCAAAGGAAGAACCTATGCATCAAGATGTGCCCACAAACACTTTATAGAGGATGGATCGGCTGGTTTTTTTAGTCTGTGCGAATAAACCCTTTTCTAATATTGTCGGTCTACGGAGCTGTACTTGGGGTTTAGTTTTGATTAAACCCTTTTTGGTCGAGTAAGGGCCCTCACTCGAGCACAAAGGGTTTACATCCTGATCCAAACCCCAAACCCAAGGGTATGAATATCAATCGACCAAAAAGGGTTTAATCAAAACTAAACCCCATTCCAGCTCCGTAGACCGACAACAGTAGAAAGGGGTTTATTCGCACAGACTAAAAACACTTAATTTAAAGATAAATTATTGAATATATATAAGATTTATAAAAATATATTATATTACGAAATTTTGTTAAATTATTTTTTTAGATATTAAATATATTAAAAAATTGGTATTGATATTTTATTATTGCTTTATAATTGTATTTAAATAAATATTTATATATACAATTATTTCGAAAATTAATTTATTGAAATTATATGTATGTATTAAATATATTTATGATTCTTAAAGATATTTATGGAAAATATTTTAATTTATTTAAGGTTAAAAATACATATAAAAATAGTAATATATTGTGAATGTAATATTGATTATATGAATTTAAATATATTATATAGTTGGGATTATCGAAGATTAAATGAATATTTGAATATATTTAATGATTTTGAATATTGAATTAATAAATAGTAATTATATATATTTTTTTTTATTGAGGACGAATTATTGCGAGCTTTTAACTAAGGATTCTTGATTATAAGATGCATCCCTTTTAGATTGATAAACAAACGGTAGAATAGAGATTGTCGCAATTTTAGAAGCCATTCGAATTGGTATTCGTTCGGGCCGTCGTGCCCGGATTTAATTAGATTGTATTAATATTAGGAACGAAAATATCATTGTTATTAGATGACCCGAATTTTGATCGACCTAATATATATATATGATGTTGATTTGGGGGAATAATTGGTAATTGAGTTGCATCGGGAACATGAGATTATGATTTCTAAGGTTGCTATACACGTTGGAAACAGGATCATGGGGGTCTATTGAAGAGTGGGTGGATTTTTCTAATACTGTAATATTATTGACCAATATGTAAGGGATTGTAATGGGCGATTTTAGATGTTTATAGTTCTTGGAATAGATTTTGGCCCTAGGAACAGAATATTTAGTAGCAATTCCGGATTCCTTGTGCCATTGGCGAAGAATTAATCCGGTTAAACAGAATAGATCTTTTTAGTTCGTCAAAAACCCTTAACGATTGTTCGGTCCTCATTACGGAAGAATATCATTAATAAATAATAATATTTTAATTATCCATGAATCCCAATCATCTGGTTTAATGGATATAAATCTTTATCTGATGGGATCAATTTTTGGGCATTGCTAATGTGATGATAAATGTTATTCCCCGCACCACAATGAATGCAGGCGTCATTTCCATCTGTTGAATATTTGTGTCCATCCTAGGTAAAGACGGTGTCATTATGAACCGTTCTCGAAAGGTCCTCTTGGGTTTCGGTCAATGGTAGATTAACCCCTCTCGATAATTGGGCATCAATTGTTCCAAGATCATCAAATCCTCGTCGGGAATTAGCATTAAATGTCCAATTAATTAATCAAAATATATATGTAATATATTATAACACATGGTTAAACATCTATCGCAAGTCACAGCAGCTAGTTCTACAGGATTCCAACCCTTCTTCCAAACCATTCCATTCAGCTGCGCCGGCCTCCGCCGAGCGGCCGCTGCGCTCCATCGGTCGTCGGGCGTGCGACACACGCAGCGGTGCAAGAAATCATTAATTTTCTTAATTCAATGGTTTTATATAATAAATTGAATATTTCTATTGAGCTCCATTTTGGCGTTGTAAACGAGAATGAGGGAATGATATAAAGGAGATTGACGAGTATTCTTCATTGTTATCATTGGGTGCATCATCAGAATTGATGGAGGATGAATTATTAGAAAACGATTTATTAATTATATATAATAAGAAATCAATGGATCAATCATTTGCCTACATTCACGTGCATCATATTATATCCAATAATCGTTCATAACATATTCATGCCTTGCTAGGTCTCTCGCTACGTAGCTTGGTCAATTTTCGCGAATATTTCATCAAAAAATAATGCGTCATTGATAGATTTCTAGGCGTAAAGCGTAATAACCAATGGCCGCAACAGGAGGAGGAGGAATAGTAATAGGCAGTGGTAGTGCCAATAGTAGTAATCGTCGTAATGTTAATAGTAGTAGCATTAATAATCGTAATAATCATGATAAAGCAAAAATCGATAGATATCAAACCTAGAAATTATATATATAATATAGAATATAGTAAAATCTTTGTTTTAAAAAAATCGTGAATTCGAGAAAAATATGTTCGTGTATAACAAAAAACAATGTTCAATAACACAAACCTTATATATATAATTCGTTTGTCAATCATCTCATTCATCCAATCAATCGATTAATAATTGCATTCAATGAAATCATAGTATAAATCAAAAATATATTAATCTTACAATTTTTTTATAAAAAAAGAGACCCCAAATAGTGTGTGTGAGGTCTATAAGCAGAAAGTCTAGAGATCTAGATGAGTGGGTGTGAGCGTGAGTGAGAGTGAAGGTGGGTGTGAGTGAGTGTGGGTGAGAGGGAGTGTAAGTGAGAGTGGGAGAGTGAGTGTGAGTGCGAGTGTGAGTGAGAGTGAGTGTGGGTGAGAGTGAGTGCGGGAGTAGGTGAGCGTGAGTGAGAGTGAAGGTGGGCGTGAGTGAGCGTGGGTGAGAGTGAGTGTGGGTAAGAGTGAAGGTGAGTGTGAGTGAGATTGAAGGTGGGTGAGTGAGTGTGAATGCGAGTGTGAGGAGTGTGGGTGCGAGTGGGAGTGGGAGAGTGAGTGTGTGTGAAGGAGTGCGAGTGAGAGTGGGTGTGGGTGGGAGTGAGTGTGGAAATGAGAATGGGAAAATGAAATATGAATATTTGAAAACATTAAATGATATATCTATTCTGCATTTTATATTTCTTACAAAAATATGCATTTTGAGGTTTACTAAGCGCACGACATTTTTATTTCGATATAAATATTATATTTGGGACGAGATCTTTCGAGGTTTACTAATAAGCGTTGTTGTTGCTATTAAATTTGCATTTGCTTACGAAAGCTAGTAACAACTAGCTGGAATTGTCCTTGTTTTAGTAGATGAGGGGCTAGAATGCTCGAGATCCCCGCATTACGTAAAAATTTCATATATAGAGGGGGAGCCCCCCGCGGATTCAACTCCCCCCTAAGACCTCTCTTATGGCATCTATTTTGGTTCAACTCCTTCGTGGAGATTTTGGAATCCAATGCAACAGATTCATAAACTAAGATTGGTTATATCATTGCTATTCATTTGGTTTACAAATATTTTATCTCATGAACGAAACCTTATGAATCATCCCTCCAACAATCCCATGCCTATTAAAAAAAACCAAAATATTTACTTCATTCCATTTGATATCCCACCAATCCTTTATTATTAGACGGTGTATGTTTCGCCGCCACTAACACGGATATATCCCTGGTAATTTTCGTCACCTACCCTCGGCCTCAAATTTACTAATTATTCTATGATGTTTTATGTATTACAAAATCTGCATTGTGAAAATCATAAAATTCGAAATACGTATACTACGAAGATTTTAATTTTGAGATGTATCAATCGTACGAAATCTACATTTCGAAATTCATCAAATGCGGTGCCTACCATAAAATTCCGATTATCATCATGTCCAAAATGCTATGCCTGCCACGAAGATTGCATCGAAATAAAATAATCCTAATTTCTTATAACCTATTCCTTAAAAAAAAAACCTAAAATATCAAAATACGAGATTTCCTTAAATCTACCAGAAAAATTAATCACGGCACCACAACGAAATTATAATCGTTAAAAATACCCGTCACGAATCCCCAAATTCTAAAAACCTACGCAATCGAAATATGCATAAATATTATCGTATAAATATTATCGATAAATATTATATATATTATATAGTTATTTACATCAATATAATTCAACATCCCCCAGAGGGGGTAGCGAAATTAAGAAAAGAAACAACGTTGAGGCTCTTTAGGCAGCAAAAGCCTAGGCGTAGCTAGCAAGCAGCAACACCAGCTACCAAGCAGCAGCAGCAGCTACCAAGCAACAGCAGCAGCAGCTACCAAGCAGCAGCAGCAGCATCAACAGCAGCTACCAAGCAGCAGCAGCAGCAGCAGGAGCAGCTACCAAACAGCAGCAGCAGCTACTAAGCAGCAGCTACCAAGCAGTAGCAGCGCCAGCAGCAACTACCAAGCAGCACCACCAGCTACCAAGCAGCAGCAGCAGCAGGGAAAGAGTGAGCTTTCCTTAGTCTTTCGTGCCCCAACATTTGGTCTCGAACAATAGCACATATAGGTGCTGCCTGAGTAATTGTAGAAGGGCGACGTGGAAAGACAGATATATCTGATATATCTATTTTTCCACAAATAAATGCGGACGATGCAGCCAGCAACGGTGTGCATAATTGATATCTAGGGGTTGCATACGAACATGTGTCAGCGACCGAAGACTCCGTCGCAACGCTTGTGCATGCTCCCTATCGCTCGAACATAGAACGCGGACTACCAGGAGTGAAGCAAACAGCCCGTTCAAACATCTTACTGGGTTCTGTCATTCATGTGTGTAGTAAGTATCATCTTTTGATCTACGTGGATAGTGGATAGCGCATTCTAATTTGTATTCTTGGGGGTTGTAGGCGGATACATGCCTATACAAGCTTCTTAAGGATATAATAAAATTAGCATCGTTTCACGACTCAGAGGGAATGCAAACTACTCTCGGTTCTAATAAATAGGCTTTCTTCAACACCAACAGCAGCCAACAACCCCAAACAGCAACAGCAGCAAAACGGAGCAGACAACAAGCAGTAGGCAGCCAGCATCCAGCAGCAGCAAACATGCAAGCAGCAACCAACAAGCAGCCAAAAGCATCCAGCAGCACCAAGCATGCATTTAGCAAGCAACAACAACCAGCAAGCAGTCAAGAGCCAGGCGCAAATGAGATGCCAGCAGCAACAGCAGCGACCAAGCAGCAGCAGCAGCAGCAGATACCGAGGAGGAAAAAGGTGGAGTTGAACCCCGCGAGGGGGGAGGGTATAGTTCTAATATATCAAGTAACAACACTCAGGTCCTGGGCTCCCACCCTAACTAGCTACAACTAGCTTTCGTGAATTGCAAATATTAGTTCTGTTATAAAAAGAAGGTTGCCTAAAATATTTAGAATTGTATTGTGTTTATTTATATATATATAAGATCAAGATGGGTCGATGATGATGATGATGATGCGCGACGAAGATAGCCACGTCAAAATTAAGCCGTGCCACTTCGTAGGCACATGAATCATGGGCGCGTCGACCTAGCCCGGGCATACAAACCCCCATCGCAAAACACCGCTGGGAACCGGCGACCAACAGGGAGTCGGTGAGTAGACCAAGCGCCTAATAAACAAACTGTGGTCGAGGCCAATATAGCCTTAAGATGGCTCGACATAGACGCACGCTAGGGCCCACGCGGCTCCACCCACACAAGTCAACGACAACAACGACACAAATTACGCCAACAACAACAACGACAACATCCCTCCTTCCACTTTCTTTGGCCTTCCCCCTTCGCCTGTTTTGGGCCCCTGGCTAGCTGTCGGGCATAAGCCCTTAAATCGGGCCAGCAGGCCTTATTTGTCACCAAAGGCCCGGGTGAACCTCGCAGGCCACTGGGGAGAGCATCGAGAGAGGCATTGTTGGGATAAGGGTTTCGATGAATCAACATAAAAACGGGTGGTGTTCCCATGCCATCAACATTACTAATTACTATTTTCCAAAGGCCCGTGGTGCGAGATATGCTGCCCGAGTTGCCTTGCATTATCAGCATTTTGTGCTTTTGGTTGCTCTTCTGTGTTTCCTCTTCCGAAGAAAGAGCAAGAAGAGCAAGAACAATAACAACCACAGCCACAACGACAACAACAACAACCACAGCCCTGCGACACCAACGACCACGACAACAAGCACAACACCAACAATAAGAATGCACAACCTCTGATGGTGGGCCTGCTGGCCAGCTGGTGGCTTCGAGAGAAATGATCACGTGTCTTCGGTTCCTTTGTTTGTGTTGTCGTGGTCCGTCCTGTGCTCTTTTTCGTGAATGCTTTCTGTTTCAAAGCCGTTCGTGCCCATCGCAAAAAGACGTCCCCGGGGGGATTCGAACCACAACGTCGCTCAATCGCCAAGTGGTGCGTAGATCGATGTTTTCCCGAAATTTAATGGCTTTTGAAGCCACGAAACCTGCAAATTTCCAAGAAATTTCGGTGGAAGCGCTCCAAGCGAAAAAACAGGATTACATTTTGAGTCTTCGGTCCTTTTGATTATCTGTTGCCTTTGTGCCGAAGCCCGGCGCACAGCTTTAAGCAGTCACGTAGGAAAGGTTGCATTATGTACTAATTTAGTGTAAAAACAAATTTTACCACTCCCAATCTATCAGGTGAAGCTTATTGTAACAAGTCCGGCCTCATCTATATGTATTTCTGTCTTCCTCCTCGCCTTGCGATTCTTCAATTGCTAGCTCCAGATCGCAGTGGTCACTGCCGGACTTCCACAAGAAGCGCCAGATCGCAGTAGGCACCACCACACCGCAACAGCAAGCAAAGACAGGTAATGAACACATGCCAACGAACACAGTCCAGAACATTTCCCAGCCTTTATGATAGATAATGTGTCAGAGCACAAACCAGGCTTGATGCCAGAACAAGCGTCAGAACATTGTGTCAATCCGCATGTCCGCCTTTGTCAGGCCAGTCTGTCAATACATGTGCCCTGCCTTCTTCCAAATCGCCTTTCAGGGTGGGAATCATTCCAAGTAGAGAAATTGTAGCTGTCCTATTTGTAAAAAACATAATGTTAGCTTTTTCTATTTCTCTCTCTATATATATATATATACATACTATACTATTTTTTAGTTGTATTGATGTTTTTGTTATTATTATTAAATTTACTATTATTATGTTTTGATTCGGTTCAGGGTCTTTTTGGTCCAGGATCGTTGTAGGTGTCATGGGTGTACGTTGGATTCTTTCTTTCGCCATTGTTATCGTCGTTGGGGTCTTTGGGGCGGGCAGCGCGCTCATAGTGCCAAGAAGCCCCGCTGGCGTCTTTGGTGTGGACTTGGTTTCATGTATCTGTCTTGGATTTGCATCCAGACCATCTTGTGAGTTGCCCGTGATTGCAGCTGGCGTCTTTGGTGCAAAGCTCGCTTCACGCGGCTCGTTTTCTGGCTTTGCAGTGGCACTTTGCTGTGTGCTTCTTTCTGCGGACCTTTTGACACCAGGTCGCACTGGCGTCTGTGGTTCCGCAACGCTCTGAGGTCCGACACGTGCCTGAGGAGGCCCACGAGTAGACACGACTGCAGATGCTGGTGGTGCCTTGATTCCTGGACGAATAGCTTTTGCTAAAGCAGCATTTGGGGGTGGGGGCTTTGAAGCACCCATCCTTGGTTGCGTGTCATAGGCTTGCGGCAAGTTTTGCAAGCTGGGCACCTCCGATGGCAGTGGTTCAGCTGCAGCCCCATGATTTCTGAAAAGCATCTCATCATCCACAGTAGTGAGAAAGGCGATCTTGCCTGCAGCCGTTTCTACATGGAAGACACTTAAACGCTTACACTGCCACGCGTAAACCAGGCCTTTCCGCTTCCCTTTGCCAGATCCTTTCCCTTTAGTTCTTGTCCTGTCCTGTCACCACATGCAGAAATCCCAGTCTCGAGTCTCGAGCACAATCAAGCTCTGCGCCTTGTCAGTCGCCTCAGTTGCATCCACTGCAGCCTGGTATACAGCATGAGAGCCAATGAAATGCAAAAGCACCTGGCCAGCGACACAAACTTCAACACAGCACCTCCTTCGAGGGCCACTCCTGTGCGAGGTCTTCACGAGAGCCACTTTTCCAATCTTCTCTGCCTGTCCCCTTGGACCGCCAAGCCATTGCAGCGGCTGAAAATGCACAGTTGCAAGCGAGATCTGTCGCACCTCTGTGCTTCCTCCATTCTCTCTTTCGTCGTCCTCCAGCAGCCAGCCCTGATCCTGTCGCGCAGGAATAGGAGGAGCACGGAAGTTCACATGCTGGAAGTGCGCAGTCCTTGTAGCGCTTGGCTTTGTCGAGCAAGGCGTTGGCATGCGCAAGCAAGCCAGGCACAACGCCTCGAATCATTCAGATTTCCAGGCACAGCGACAGCCCCAAAGAACCCCAGGTTAGGAAGTGACATGAACTGACTAAGAATGATTCGTTCGAGAAGTTGAAGTTGCCATGGGCCACAAAACACGAAGGTCTATGCCTGTCTATGCACACAAATATGCAATGATCCCATGCTCGACCTGTCCGGCTGTACCTGGGACAACTCCAAAGACATACCGTTCTTCCAAACTTTGCGACTGTGCAATGCAATTCGGCTGGCTCGCGTAGTGAGAGGAGCATGATGTACAGTAGATGAGCGAATTTGACTTTTGCAGTAACCAGCCAAGCCATGGAATGGCCTTGGCCTTGAATCCAGCGCAACGACAACAGTAAATGCGAACAACATCGAACAACACAATAGATCGCGACATGTTTCAATGTACTGAGCCAATGTTCAATTGGGATTATGGTGTTACCATGCACTCTCCGATTTTGATTCGGCTGTCTCTGTGACCACTGACTTAGGTCTCCACTTTTCTCGTGGAATTTGACAAAGCATGGACAAGGTGTAAATTGCTATGACTGTCATAGCACAAAGGGTTGATCGAATGAGGCCTTCAACGTTCAAGCGTGTGGGTGTTTTGCATAACGAAGTCAGGAAATGATCTAGTTTAGATTAGGGCTTAGTATGGTTTAGTATAGTTTAGTAGCTGTGGTAGGCTCTTCTTTGAACCATGCACTACCTCTTGTATGCTTACGTGAAGTCATGGAGTATGCTTTCAGAGTCTCGGCGATTGTGCACCAAGTAGAAGCAATAACGTTTGTCTTTCAATTCAAGCAAGTTCGCCCAATGTCCACTTGGATACGGCTTGGATATGCCTTGCAAAAGTTGAAGGGTTAGGCGGTTAGGTAAAGGAATGAGTCAGGAGAGTATATAGTCACGTAGTCTTGTGCAGTTGACCCAAGACTGCAGTTCTGAGGCGCAGGCGTGGGGAAGGAATTGCACCGGCATAAGCAGCCCCAAATAGCAACTAACTCGTAAAAATGTGGAAAAAAGATGAAAAAAGTTAAGGAGACAAGGCAGCAGCGGTAGAGAAAATGCCGATCACAGGCAAACAAGTGGGGAGACATGTAAGGAAACAAGTGGGGAGATAAGGAAGCAGTGGCAGGAGTGGACCAAAACGCTGATCAGCCCCAGTCATTGAGAAGCAAGAACTCCGATAGCTTTCGGCCACCTTGGGGGAAAAAATAAAAGGCAAACATACTCTTTCAGGGTGCGCTTCCCATCATTCTGGGATGGTGGGTAAGGAACTAGGAAACGAGCAAGAGGCAATGATGGTGGGGATGAGTGACCTGTAAGAAAGGAGAACTGCCGGCGGGGGAAATTTGGAACTCCCGCCTGGGTTTGATTCGATGACATTTCCGGCAAAGATCAACCGCTTCAACTGGCCCTCGCGACCTTCCTCGTTGTCGAAGAAGGCCTCAGCAAGCACAGTAATCAGCACAAGTTGCAAGCAAGATCAAGCAAGTTGAGCACCCAGGCCACTCCTACTAAGATCACATGGCGGACATAGCCTGGCCTGACCCATTTGGCCTGGCACTGAACTCTTGGTGTTCGGACGATAGTGCTGGTGTCAATGGCCAGCTCTGACAGCTGCTGCTGCAGCCAAGGCATTTCTGTCAGAGCAAGCGGGACCTGGCGAATGTCGCTGCATCATTTTTCAGTTGTGACACCTGGCGAATGTCGCTCATTGTCTTTGGGACTCATCCATTCGCCTCCGGCCGGATTGCTGTGTCAGCTCGCCGCTTGAGATCAACATGAAATTGCAATCCGTCGTTAACCTCGGGAAGTGATCGCCAAATGACGGTGAATTGGCGCAAAAAAGCACGCTCAAAGCATTAGGTGCCAGCAAAAGGCCCAGGAAATGTACTCCGAGCACAGTGCCCTTGAGCCTTTTCTTCCAGCAATGAAGGCCCGCCCAGCACCCACTTCTACTACGCACCCGGTTGCTCCAGCAAGCCTGACGGCAGGGTAAAGCATGTCAAACCATCTGCCAGTGACACGAGTGGCGCTCGGCCAGCTTAGCGCAGCTTAGGAGCTGTTTGGCAAGCTGCACGCGTTCTTCCTCAGTCACCAAAACGAAACCGGACTTGCAAGTCCTGAATGCCGAATATAAACGAAACCGGAACCTGCCATGCTCAAAAAGTCTGGAAAGGTCAAGTGTCAATCTGTTCGAGCTCGGCTGCCAAGGGGATTCCTTCAACGCCAAGCCCGGCCGCCTTCGCTTGAAAAGTGCGAAAGATGCCTAATACTCGCCTAACATTGGCAAGTACTTTGAAGGACTGACTTTCGGGGGCCTGTGAAGAACCCATGTCCTGGCGTCAGCTAATTGGCACTGAAAACACACACACACACACAATGAAGAGAAGCACAAGTGAGAGAACAAATGACCGTCTCCTTCTCAGAATAGCCGGGGTGATGTTTCTCCACAAGGGCCCTAATCTTGGCTTCTGCCCAAGCTCGTGCATAGGGTTCGCCAAGGATCGCAATCTCACAAGTTTGATCACCAATGTCGTCATAGCCTACCATCATCATGTCGAGGAGCTTGTCCATCTCTTTATCTGCTTTTTGACTTTCCCTGTCTTTGAGGGGGAGAATGACGGTGCTCGTCAATTCCATCAATTCCAGCAGAGACTCCATTTGCTTTCCAACGACCACAGACATCATGTCCTTTGGAATTGTTACCCTGCGGGCGTCTCCAAGCAAGGCAGCAGGCAACGTTGGGTGCCTCTTGTGTTCCATTCCCAGTGCAATTACCTTTATGATTTGCAAGCCTTTCCAGCGCTCTTCCAAGCTTCCAGCTGCCAAAACACAGGGAATAGCTTTCGTGCACTTTGAAAATGAGGACTTGTCTGCCACAGGCTTCAAGAAAAAGCGAATGGTGCACCCTGTGGTCTTCAAAATCTGCTTTAAGAAAGGGCTTCTCTCCAGTCGCTTGATAACTTCAGACTTCACTGCAAGTTCTTCTGAGACCACACCCAAGCGCTGCCCTTGAAAGTATGGATTGCTGTGCAACGAATTCCAAGCACCAAGCGACTCAGTCTCAAACGCTGCTACAATCTTCAGGGCGGCTGCCAGTCTGCGTTGGTAGTGTCCAAATATTGCGATTGCCCTAGCTCTACGGATGCCGGTCAGTGCAACTTTCTCTTGCTGGTGGTCATGACAATATTGGACTCTGGTGGACCGGTCAGAGCTAATAATGGCTGCCATCCTCCAAACTCCTGGCTGCACCTCAACTTCTACCAAGTCACCAACTGTTGGAGGTGGATGATCCTGGCGCTGGTCCTTCTCAACAACTATGAGAACGCTCTCACTGAGCTCAATGTCTGCCAAGCTGCTCTTCTGCTCCAAGCTGTCAGCAAAGCTCCGAGAAACAAAAATGCGTAGCATGTCACTATCAGCATACCCAGAAGGAACCATTTCATTGAGGATGATGTTGACATACTTTGCAACAGCTCGTTTCTTAAGAACTCCACCGCGAACTAAAATCTGTTTTTCTTTCAGCAACAATTGCGAGGCACCAGTCAGTTTCATGATCTGGGTCGTTTTGCTGGCAATTCGCTGGCTTAGTGACGTGTCAGGCAACTCCAAATCGCCATTCTCTTGGAGCACGTCAATCGCAGCGGAAACCTCTTCAGTCACTGATTCCCAAAACATAGCATCTGCGTCTTTCTTTTGTCTTGTTGGCGCTCTTTCTCCTCTGTCGCTTGTCTGGTTCTGGCCAGCCCCCTCACTGCGCGCCTGCTTCGACTTTTGTTGACTTGGAGTTTGGGTCTTCCTTTTTGCTCTTGGGCTACCCACTTCTTTCGCATTTGTCACCTGTGCATCTTTGTCCTTTGCCTTCTTGCCCATGGAGCTAAAAAGCACCCCCGTCTCCCGAACTGTGCCAAGTTTCCAGCGGAGGCCGGCAGCAAGTTTGACCAAATCCAGCAGAAATGGTTCATGAATGCTGCAGAACCACCATGGCTGCCAGAAGGGGCAACGGAAAAAAGTACATGCTCCGCATGCGCCCTCCCTCAGTTTGTAAGGTCATTGCCAGGTGAACTCAATTGTTGCAGCCTGACACTATTTAGTTGTCAAATAGGTGCAAACAATGCGAACAAAGGGAAATGCACTGACAACATATTATCAAGGATGGGTTCTTCTCAAGATTCTCCTTCTCCTGGAAATGCCAAAACATTACATGTCCACCAATAAATCGCAATTGCATCACGAGCACCCACAGTGCAACTCAATCAAGGTTGCATGCACACGACTAAGATATATTACCTTGCTTCGACATGGAGAAGTACATCTTTTCCCTGCGTCACATGCCCATCATGCCCGGCCATTTGGCCCTTTGCAAACTGCAACCTGTCCAGAGTTGTGGGGAGAGACCGGCTGGAATCAAGCTGGGTGTGATGGAGTGCATGGTGCACTTGTGGTGCACGATGTGAACATCGTGTGGCTTTAAGGAAGGCAGGCAAATCGGCTTTTTTCATATTCTCATGAATGCATTCAGAGATCAGTTCACGTGCATTCAAAGGAGACGGGGGTTGTGCTGGATTTCACTCACGCCCTGGAGGCTGAGTTGTCCAGCTGAGATTAGCATCCACATTTGTGGCATCTGTGCGGTGAAACGATTGGGCATTGTTTGGTGCTGCATGGTGCTCTTCTTTCTTCCACATGATCCGCAGGTTCTTTGGTCAAATTATGTAGTCATGCGTGAAGAAGGGTGGGTTTTGACACGAGCACAGCAGCACTATTTTCTGACTGCGTAGGCCGCTTCCTGCATGACGAACACAAACAAACACGAGAGCTAAGATTTAGAGGCTGGCTATATATATATATATATATAAAGTGGTCCTAAGGTCAAGCCTGGTCAAGCCGCCTCAAGGTCCTAAAGGTCCTGAGGTATGCATAGAAATCTTGGAATTGTGGAGGCCAAAAGTACATTGACCTTGAATGCAGCCTGCAGTTTCAGCTCAGCAGCTAAGTGGTGAGCCAATGGCAAAGCCAAAGGTGATTCAACACGAACATGATTGGCTGCCTAATAAAGTGCAGTATGAAAATCAATCACACTGGACACAGTGTGTGACACGGTGCAGAAGTTAATCGATTGCCATAATTAATGCCTGCAGCAACAGCTTACAACATACTAAAATGACTCACGGCCCCCCCAGCTTCGCGCAGGCACCCCACGGCTACTGAAACTGATCCGCATACTTCCTAACATCCCTCTCATCCCACATCTCATGATTGATGGCTATATGGAGAACGTCCTTCTCCTCAGAGATGGTTGCCAAGGTGACTTTCCTTGTATCAACGCCGAAGGAGTTTAGGACTGTGGAGTGCTGGTCGTGCAATTTCGTTGAATAGACATGGAACCAGCTTCTTGTGATACCATCTTCGTTGAGAGCCCCTGGTACAGCTTCAAGATATGACATGAAGAGATTTCGAACTGACTCCACCGTCATTTTCTCTGTACCTGTGACCCACCGAACTTCTCCACTTTGGAGGACATGTGCCAGGAAATCCCAGCATGTCTTCTCCTCCCAGAATCGAGTGTATCCTTCATGGTCATCAGCTGTCATGTCTTTGATCAGCCCCTTTAAGGTCTTGACCTTTTCCACTCGGATCTGGTTCAAAGTACCGTACTGGAGATCAAAGGGCTGCTCCGGCTTGAACTCCAGCAACTCGAACATGGTGCCAAGTAGAGTCACTGCCAAACCCTTCCCCTGGACAGTGTCATTGCAGACGATTGTTGCATTCACGTCCATAAAAACGACCAATCTGTCCCTTGGCTCAGAAAACTGAGAAATTAGTCTGGCAAAGTACTCCTTGTCTTCAATGGCATCCAAAATGTTTGCCTTCACAAGAACTACACGCCACATTTGGCTGTGCTGCACTACTGTGTGTCGTGCGAATCGCTCTTGCACAAATCCATTCTGACCTTCAGTGAAGTTCACAAACTTCCCCGTGGCCAAGTCCCTCAAGTTGCAGATGCCAGGGCTGTCCTCACAACCGCCCCACTCCAAGTTGTCATCAAAAAAGAAGACACGGATAGGTCCATCGGATGCAAATCCATCAGTCTCCTCTTGTGCAACTGGGATCACCTTTGCAAAACCATTGATTTTCTTGCTCTTCCGCCATGCCGCAAAGCAAGAAGTTGTCACCTGTAGTCTTCGGTGTTCAGCACATAGCTGGAAGTAGTTTCGAAGATGCTGCCTTCGAGCCAGCTTGTCGTGCAGATCTAAGTTGAAGACAACTCGATCGGCACTGACCTCAATTCTGCACAAGCTGTCTATAAGCTTTGGGCAGCTTGGACTTGAAGAGGATGCCGAGCTCAACCTGTATGGACCTGGGCTTGAAGATGCCTCCCCGCTTGCTAAGTGCAATCCAGGAGTTGATCTAACCCGATCCATTGATAATCTGGCAAACTCTTCTCGCCCGCTTACTACAACATTACTTTTTGCTCGTTCAACTCGGATCTCTTCTCCGTCTGAGGTCTTCAATAAAGAAGTCGGATGAGAATCGTGCGCGCACGTGTCTGGCAGTCTCTCCATGCACCGGCTGGTCACCTGGCCCATGCGTCCCCCCAGCGCCCCACCGTGCTCTGGAGTTTGAGCCAGGGCTGCAGGTATTCAGCGGTCCGCACTGTCTTCAAGCGCTTCTACATCCACAGAATTCTTCAGTTGATTCTGAAATTCATCGGGCACGAACAATGGAAGATGAAGTGTCTGCGAGCTCACATCGACCAATGGATTGGCTAGCGCTGATTCATTGGTTGGAATCGGAACCCGTAAAGGAACAGCGGCCAGCGCAAGACTTGTCAAGCAAGTCCCCTATGGCCCAAGGAATTATATAATCATCGGATTCAGTTGCACAAATGCCTCAACCAGCCTCGGGTCTGCACCAAGAACATGCACCTGGAAACAGCTTCCAGCTGTGCTCAAGCGATGTGCAAAGGCAGGTTTCAGGTTTGTCGTCATGCAGCTGCACGAAGAACAAGACTAGACTAGACTAGCCGCGGCAATTATGAAGAACATAAAGAACGTGGAAGAACCACGGCAAAAGCAGTGCAGCAACAACACCAGTTATGCTGGCTTGAACTCGTCTGTGAGGGCAACCTCGCGTCCAAACCCTGAATTTCACGCTTGCACATCTTGCAATCAAATGTATACAAAATGCAAGTTACGTCTTGAATCTAAAACCTGTTGCAATCTGTCCGGTTTCTGTGGCTATGCCAAGCACGCCCTCTCTTGGCTGGGTCTGGTCTTCTTCAACAGGGTTGCCTGAACAAAAGGTTTGATTGGCAAAACCTGTGGTTCGTTAGCAGCGTTAGCAAGCCATGTTTAGCTTGAATAATTATCCAAGAGGAAGTTCTTCTCCCAAACGGCGAACACCAGCTCATGCCTTAGCAAAACAACAACCTGACGAATCTATACATACTCCGGTGCAAGTCCTATCAAGCATGTGACGTGATCATCAGGAGGTGGTAATCAGAGTCCTCGAGCCTCAACCCTCTGTACCGGTGCCTTGATCCTTTCCGCTCCCCAACAAGCCTTTGAGTATGGACTGTGCGCCGCACCCCTCGTCTCGGCTAGGACAGGGCCCTCCTTGAGCCACATCCGGAACCATGCTCACTGCGTAGCACAAAACCACCTTGTCAAGCTCTCTGGCAATTCTCCAGCCGATGGATGCCAAGGTCTGAAGTCTCAAGCCATCTCAAGCCCTGCGACACTGGCTTCATTTTTGAATGGCAGATCTGCCGCAGGTTTTGGCGGGGAATCTGCTAAAGTTTGTCCAAAAGTGAAACATGTGTGATACAAGAGTAAGCCCGGGCAAGCATGTACGGACATGGTGTTCTTTCTAGTGATGCTTGTCCAGCATTCAAGCATCCTCGAACCTAGGAAAGCCTCCATTTTTTGAGGTGGGGCCAATTAGCATAAACCGATGTGTACTCAGAGATTCCACTAAAGGCCATTCCTCCGTGAAGCGCCCCAGTTGGCCTCAGAGTTTCTTGCCTTACAGGCTTCCTGTGTTTCAGGAAAGACTCTTGATAAATACTCTGGCTATCAAAAATGCATGCTCGTGCTGCATCTGTCAAGTTGGACTGGTTCTCATCACCTGTCTTCTTTCCTTCTTCTGGCACTGAAATGTCGGGTTTGTTGAATTCCCGCGCGTAGCTGGTTTGTCCCTCAAACCGCCGAGTCCTCATGAAAGAAGTCAAAGAAGAGGAGTGGCTATCGAGGTAATCACTCTGATCACCCACAGGGTGACCCTGTGGCGCGTCTGGTTGTCCCTTTGGGCCTTTGCCCTCTCGTGGAGCGAAGTGATCACCGTACGTAGTGGCAAGCTTGTCGCAACCAGCGTGCTGTAGAAAGTGCCGCGAATAAACAGGATTGCTGGCAACCAGTGGCCTTGGGCAGCCACGTGCAGACTTTTTGGTATAGTCCTCGGAGTAAGAAGTCAACCCCTGGAACTTCCCTTCCAGTTGGTCCTTAGTCAAGATTGACGAGGTGTCCTTTGACAAAGGAAGAGGTGCTTGAAAATGTGCATGGTGAATAAAGTCTGCTTGCACGGTCGACTGCATCGGCACAGGTTCCATAGGAAATATGACCTGCTTAAAGCAGGTCAAAGATCCAACATTTCGGCTTTGTTTGCCTGGTTGCACACCGGCGTGCATTGCGGTTCTTGCGCCCCACCGTGATCTCCTACTGCATTTTGAGCCTTATGTGACTTATGTGACACAAACATAATCAAACATATACAAAACTAACAAGTCCTGCCAAAGCTGCACCAACTCGTCCACTTCGTACATGACAGGGTTGAGCAATGAGGGGGCAAGGCCCATGGAACAAAAGGCTGAACATGAAACGAGTACGTGCACATGGCACGCAGTCATGATGTCAACAATGTTGACAGCAAAAACAGCACCAGCAGCAAAGCAGCAACACGACAAGGACAAGGATGGCGAGAAAACACACACAAGGATGGCGACGGCGACAACAACAACAACAACAACAACAACAACATCACAAATGGCAAGCTGGAGAGAGAAAGGCCCTGTGTGTGTATATATGCCCTGGACTCATTGGTTTCTTATTTGCTTGACGCTGCAGTAGGATTTGCAGGGCACCGAGGACCATGCAAGCAAGCCTGGCATTAAGAAAGGCACGTGCGTTATCTTGCGTTGGTCTGTGATATCGACTTAGGATGCCTGGCTGAAGTTTGGCTATGATTGCGATGTGGATTGATTTGGTTTCTTTCCGAAGCTCAACGCTGCACAACGCTGCATTGTTATCTAAATTTTCAGGTTTTCCTTTTTATTCCGAGTTTCCTCAAGCATTTGTATGCACTTCACCCTTGGGAGAGCCCAGGGTGAGCCCGCAGAGTGCCCCCATCTGGTGGCAAAAATGACCATTTGAGAAGGGTCGCGTCCCCTCTCCTCTTGTCAGTCGCTGTCCTGAAGTTTCCATTTTTTGTGGACCATTGTTTACCTTCTTCTGCCTACTTCCTGGAGGTAGTCTTTGCAGGCGCACCTCGGGTCCGGGTCTGCATCCCGGCACACCAGTTCGGTTGGCCGGGTTTCCAGCCTTGATGTCTTTGAACCTTTTAGGCCAGTCTGCTTCTGTCTGCTTCTCAAGTAGTGTTAGGTGGCCCGGTCTCTCACCTTTGTCTTCAACCTTGCTTATCTCTTCTCTCTCTCTCCTCGTCCGGCTTGAACCTGTTTTCTTCCTTCTGTTTCTCGAAATCTTTGCGGCCTTGCCGACCCCTTAGATTTTTTGCTTAGACGGGCGTGTGTGTGTGTGTGTGTCCACCCCTGGACAAAGGGTTTTCCACCACTCCTTACAGGCAGGGGCGTGTGGCCTTCTTGTCCTACCACACGCAATGAAGCCGTGGACAAGAAGGGGAAGCAGGGACTGATCATCCCTGTGTACCTGCACCTTCAACTGTTGACCAAGCTTTTCCACTCTCGATTTGATTCATGGTGGTTTCCATGATACTTTCCCCACCAACAGGTCTCCCACAGCCACTTTTGCAGCTGAGTTGCGCCGCTTCGTCACCGCAGTCAAGGGAAACAGCTTTTGTTCAAACACCTACAATTGTCTCGGACTTTCCGCCATGCTGTTCCACCGCCTTTCTTCCCAACGTGGTAACTGAGTTCACTGAATACAAGTGTCAGAGTGTGTTTCGCTCAGCCGTCCCACTCGGGTGCTGAGTGTGATCCCCGTCACAGGGGCGCCGTTTTTACATGGGAAAGCAACCGCCCCAAAGCACCACCACTCATTGGACCCTCACAGGCAGTCACCGACACCCTCACTGAATCAACCGATACACTGGCCGCCGGGCCCAAAAACGGTTACTTTCGAATACATCAGATTTCGGATCTTTCATGCTTGTTTTTTCCACATGTTGCAATCTTATATTAATGCCGTGACCTTTTCATCAGCAGAACTCAAGCTTGTGCATTGGAGTTCTCCAATCTAATTCGAGATGCATGATCACACTTGACAACAAGCTCACATCCAGCACCACCTTACAACACACTCCCCGTCAACACGAGCGATGAGATTTTCAACAACACTATGTCACCCCGCTTTCTCTCCGGCGTGCCGCAGGACAAATCCTTTGACATGCAGTGACAAGTTGTTTTCAGGTCCTTCTGCTTTCGCCACTCTTTTTGGAACCTTCGGTCCCTCAGGCTCACTCTAGCATAGCATGTCACCATGTTTCCCGCAGCCTTTTGACCGAACTGTCTTTCCATAACTGCTCGCCGCCTCTGCGAGATGATGCCTAGCGATGATTTACGAACCACACTACCTCCCCTTTCAGCGACAACTAAGGACACAACCACCACGCTTGCCACCGGTTTTTGGAAAAAAGCGCCGGATGCGGCGACCTGTGTGTGTCCACCCCTGGACAAAGGGTTTTCCACCACTCCTTACAGGCAGGGGCGTGTGGCCTTCTTGTCCTACCACACGCAATGAAGCTGTGGACAAGAAGGGGAAGCAGGGACTGATCATCCCTGTGTACCTGCACCTTCAACTGTTGACCAAGCTTTTCCACTCTCGATTTGATTCATGGTGGTTTCCATGATACTTTCCCCACCAACAGGTCTCCCACAGCCACTTTTGCAGCTGAGTTGCGCCGCTTCGTCACCGCAGTCAAGGGAAACAGCTTTTGTTCAAACACCTACAATTGTCTCGGACTTTCCGCCATGCTGTTCCACCGCCTTTCTTCCCAACGTGGTAACTGAGTTCACTGAATACAAGTGTCAGAGTGTGAAACCCTTGGAGTCACAGGGGCTCCTTCGAAGATGTATCTTTGTGCAACACCGTTTGTTTTCGACACTGTGTTTCATCTTTATAGCAGGGGGTGGAGAGGACGTATGACGAGGCTCCATCCAATGAAGCTCCTCATACGCTCATACGCTCCTAGGATATCATCAGGGGCACCTGGTGACGTACCTGCTGCAGTGATGACTTTCACTTCGCACTGGGCCCCGCTTCAACTGCAACAAGATTGCCAGCCATTGCAGCGGCTCACCATTCTGCGGATGCGAGCGAACGTCGTCATCCTGTCGCGGCCGTTCGGTTTCTCGATCGAGTTCGTGGGCTTTGGAGGTGTTCACCTTGTTTGGACCCCTAGGTTTTACTTAGGCTGGCGTCTGGCAAGCCGCAATCGAGTCAGTACGCAATATCTTGAGTGTGTCTGGCTTCATGCCAGCCCAGGGTGTACCCAAGGAGTCCCCCCTGTGGCCCCGTCCAACTGGGGGTTTGTCCAACGTTTACATTGCCCGGAAACAAAACAGCTCGCAGCGAGCGTAGGAGGCCTATGCCAAACTTATTTGCCAAGTGATGAGTTATTGAATCTAAGTAACGTCTGAGTAGGCAGCCTACGGGCACGCCAGCCACTTTGGCAAGGCACCACGTGGTCCAAAGCTTGTTCAAGACCCAGTGGGGTCTGTCGCCACCTTAGGTGCACACACAGCACGCACAGTTCTTTTTTTCCAGCCATACCTCGCGCCGACCTGGTCCGGACGGGCTTATTGCAAGGCGTTGGCACAGCCAAAGAACGGCAATTAAAAATCTCTGTTCAATGCGGCTGCATATATTCTTGCATCATCGGTGTTTTCATCGAAATTATGATGTCTCAAAACGTTTTCGTATGCAAATTTCTTTGTGATATGCAGCCAGTTTTGCCTCGGTTTCCCAACTCGTTTGGCGCCGTAATCAACTCTGGATGCAGTGCTGTCAACGAATGATACTTGTCTCATGGGGTCATCATTACTGCTTCTAATTATATGCCCAAGTAATTTACATCTTCTGCACGCACAGTTTAATCCTAGGTTTTAATGACGTTTGTTGTCGTTGGTTTCCGGCCCCTCCATTGAAGTTCCCCTTTTCATCCTTCCACCTTCACTTACACTTTCTTTCCTTCTTTCGTTTCATGTTTTTCTTCCCTGCTTCATGTCCTGTAGTTTCACTCCTTTCTTTCTCTTGCGTGGACGTTGGTCCGGCTCTTAGCTTGTACGCGCACATCCACCTTCAACCCAGGTTTCAGGTCGCCCAGGTTCTGACAATGAGGTACGGTTCACCGTTTGTCCCTGTGCGTTTGGTTTCCCCTTCTATCGCAACCACATACACTTTTGCCCCGTCCCGTCCTCCTTCTCACGTCTTCATCTTTTTGCCCATGCTGCGCGCACACATATACATTAGACTAATTTTGCCTCCCTAATCGGGAGGCGTTAGTCCTTCGAGTGCCAGGGGTTCCTTCGAAGATGTATCTTTGTGCAACACTGCTTCCTTTTCTTCATCTTTATAGCAGGGGATGGAGAGGACGTATGACGAGGCTCCATCCAATGAAGCTCCTCATATGCTCCTGGGATATCATCAGGGACGCCCGATGACGTACCCGATGACGTACCTGCTTCAGTGATGGCTTTCACTTCGCACTGGGCCCCGTTTCAACTGCAACAAGATTGCCAGCCATTGCAGATGCGAGCGAAGGTCGTCATCCTGTCGCGGCCTTTCCGTTTCTCGAGTTTGTGGGCTTTGGAGGTTTTCACCTTACTTGGACCCCTAGGTTTGTATTTAGGCTGGCGTGTGGCAAACCGCCATCGAGTCAGCGTGCAATATCTTGAGTGCATCAACACCCGTTTCCAGGGTCTCTGCTCTAATTACTTTCAGGTCTAATCTTACCCGTGATTTTCCAGCAGGGGGCTCGTCATACCTACCGTACGCAATGAAGCTACGGTATGACGAGGGAAGGGTGGACTGATCATCCACCTGTACCTGCACTGATTTTAAACATTCGCGTTTCACCCATGTTGAAACATTCTATTTGTCCGACCTTGCATTCACGCCGCTCCATCAAGTCAAGGGCTAAGTTACTTCACGTAAAGGGCTACTGCACAAGCACTGAAACTTAGCTCCACGGAGCACTCAACTCAAGTGCAGCACCTGCTGGTTCCTAATGCCGTTCATTCGGCGCCCTTGCTCGGAAGATATATAACAACAGACTGCCTGTAACTACTTTCACCTGCTTACTGACTTTCACTCTTGCCCTTGCTCTTTCTCCCTTTCTCTGTCTTCCTCAGGCTTGTTAGGTGGCTATTCCGGCAGATGTCATTCAGGCAGCGCCAGAATCGGCTTCGGTTCGCCAGGACCTGCTGGTTCCTAA